ATTTGGATTCACGGGGTCACAAGAGGTGTGTCTTAGGCACCACCTACTGAGCAAACTTTGTTCACCCCTTCATATTTAACATTTTTCAGGGCTCGGAAAGGATGTAGTGGATGCCAACCCTTCAAAGGCATAAGGAGGAATAGAAATCCATTTTTGACATCTTTTGTGTATTTACCATTCTTTTGTAAAGCTTCAAATCTTTGTAAAGTATAGGGAATGAAGTGTATCTTGACCAATTAATGATGTCTTTCAATTGTATAATGTCATGCATTGTTGCCGTGAATTTGGAACTTGATCCCATAACAGGTCCGGTATAAGGTTAGCTCATAACTCGCACAGTTAGAAGCCATTCCAGAGAGTTAGGGTGTGACGGGCCTTGTTTCGGCCTTCTAACCCTCACCATCTGTAATGTTTATATATATATATATATATATATATATATATATATATATATATATATATATTAAAGTTAAAAGTTTTTTTTTCAAAAGTTGGTGGGCCTCACCAATAAGTTAAAAGCATAACAAAAGGCCATAAGGCCATTTCGCAGACTTCTTTATTTTCTCTCTCTCTGCTGCGTCTCGGCATCTCCATTTTTTTTTCTTTTTGCAATTTCAAGCTTGGATCTCACTCTCACCAATTGGAATTTGGTAGAACCTTGTGAAGCAAAGTCGGAAAGCTCGTCAAGGCCCTTAATTTGATAAGAGCCAATCATCATTTGGTGCACTCTAGGGAGTTTGAAATTCTAGGGTTCTTGGGCTCAAAATTGGGGGTTTTGCATCTAAGTGAGGTAGGGGTGTTCTAATGCATGAATTCTTATATTTTTGTGAGTTTCTAACTTAAAGTGATGCCTAACATGTTCAATTAGTGCTAATTCTTACAAAGATTTGTTTAGAATAATAAGCATGGAATGTATGTGACTATTTGATAATTGTTTTGAGGTGATTTAGCATGCTTACATGTTTGTATGAAATTGAGTTTATATTTTACATGTTAGTTATGCAAAGTTAATATTAAATGAGAGCTCTATCATGTATTTTATAAATTTGTCTTGTATAGTATGTGTGAAAGTTATATGGTTGGGTTGATAAATTAAAGCACAAGCATTCATGCATTCATTGGGAAAGAGAAGGGAAAAAAAATATTTTTAGAACAAACGAAATTATTTTTGGAAAAATATTTTCTAAAAGTGTTGCGAAAACCGAACGCCTAGGAGGCGCCTAGTGGTCCGTGATGTTAGTGTAGTTTAGAAAGGAATGTAGTTGAGTTAACTAGGCCGGATGCGACGCCTTGGAGGTGCCTTGTGGTCATGGATAGTTAACCAACCTTTCTTTCGTGACGCCATGGAGGTGCCTTGGGTCGGATTACATTAACGGTTTAATTGTTGAAACGGAATTGTTTCGGAAACGGGGAGTGGCATAGGCATGACATTGCACTTCATGGTACATGTGGGAAATTTGTGATTGGATGTTATTTATACTATGTTTGTCGTTGTGATTGAGATTATGTTTTCCCCATGGTATGACCCCGTCCCTTTTTATCCATTCTTTGTGTGGGATTCACGGGGATATAAGAAGTGTGTCTTAGACACTTCCTACTAAGCTTATGCTCACCCCATTATTTTTTAACATTTTTTAGGACACAGAAAAGAGGTGGCGGACGACGATCCACCACTGGTTTAGACTAGCTTGGAGATCTATTTTATTTTGCTATCTTTTGTATTAGAACTTTAATATATATTTTGTAAATGTAATCTTAAATATTTTGTGAAACTTTAGTTTAGTTGATATAATGTTGTAAGCTATGGACTTTATAATTTTAGCTACAATTATGGACTGTAACTTGATGTAACGGATGTGTCCCTTGTTTGGATGAGATAGAGGAACGAGACTTTTGTATGTATGTAACCATTTTGGGAATGTAGTATAATATCTGAATTGTGCGTTGGGACAGGATAAGTTAGATTTAAGGCCCAGTGAGGCCATTGCATTTATTTTTGTATTTCAACAGGTGGTTAAGGGACATTTTATGCGGAGGTCATGCCGAAATTTTTATAGATTTTTATTATTATTTTGGTATCTTTTCGGGTCGTTACACCACTAGCCGACCAAACCCCCTTCACCAGCCGACCGACAGGCCAAATTTGGAAAGTCCCGAGAGCAACCATTTTCACAATCGTTTCGGCCAGCCGACCACGTAGGTCAGCTGACCGAAACTGTCTTGTCAACCAACCAACCAAGGGCCACCAGCCGGCTGACCCTTCCCTTCTGACCTTTCCTTGACCTTTGTTATAGTAGTGCATATAAATTGTGTTCCCGAAGTATTTTGGACCCTGGACTGACTTGTGGGGCATGTCTTGACGTAAGGAAAGATGGTGTTGTCCTTAGTTAACCTTAGATTCGGTTAAGGACCCGGTTAACGGTTCGGACCTCTGGGTTCGGGTCGTTACAAATTTATTTTATTTATTTATTTATTTATATTTTTTGGGTGTCACTAAAACTGAATTTTTTTTAATTCTAGGTAACTTGGTTTCTAGAAAAGTCAGATCAAGTTCAGATTCCCCGAGGTCAGTGCATGGTCTAATTCTTTTACAGATTTTATTTAATCGACTAATAATATGAAAATGAAGATTTCAAATGTTCTGGTTTTGATGCAATGTTTCCTTAGCTTCATTATAATAATATGGTCAGAGCAAAGGGTGATATATATGTGATTGGAGGATGAGGAAGATGAAAATATTGTTCATTTTCTTGCCAATAAGTGGTAGTTGAGGAAGATGTAGTTCTTTACCGGACATGAGATGGATTTGGTCTGAGATGATACTGGGTCCACTTTTAATATATTCCAAACTCAAATAAAAATAAATGCAATTTGTGGTTGGAGGTGGAATATCTTGAACAGGTCTTCAAGATTTTCCGAACACTACAAACATGACTAAAAGATTCCTTGACATTTTCAGACTATGATGTTGAAACATGGCTTGTTGAATTGTTATATCTGACTTCTTTCTGCAATATTTTAATCATACTCTGTTTTTATATTGCTATTGTATTATTATATGTAATTTTGTTTCATGTTCCTTTAAATCCATAGTAGAGAATGTGCCTTCTCAGAAACTGGTCAGTTGTCATCATAACCAGTGAGAAAAATAGACTGGGAATATCAAATCCTGAAATGGTCCAATTCCATTACTTGTGGAGACAACTACAGTTTTTTTTTTTTTTTTGAGAACCCATTCTAGAAGATGGATTTTCCTTCATAAGTTATATAAGCCACTAAATTTTTTTCATTAGACATTAGATTTAATTCTTAATATGTAATTTATTGGAATGAATTATAGTTTTTTATTTGTATTTATAGTCTTACTTGATCTCATATGCATAAAGTTGATTATTTCTGGATATTCAGACTTCAGCTGGTTATTGTATTATCCAATGCAAGTCTTGTCTATGTGGAATGCTAGGAGGAAAAAAATAGAGACAAACCGAACCTTTGAGTTGTACTCGAACAATATATATATATATATATATATATATATATACTCGAACTCTAGTTCTCACGCAAACCAGTTTTCGCATTCTCAGCTGGTTATAGTCAAACTAAAGGCTTGTAGAGATGCGGTTTAGAAAAGTTAATTGCATCAGAACTACCCTTTCTATATCTGATTATTCTTTTACTGGAAACATAGTATAATTTTCATGTTAATTTATATGCATCAATGGTACAATTTCATCGGAATTTTAATGTTTAAAATTCTCTGAAGCTGCAAAAACAGTTTATTATCAATATACATTTATGTAGAAAACTAGAAATACATGTAGCTAAATATACAGAACAGTCTTATACCAATGGAGGAAATGAACATTGGCTAGACTTTATTAACTACTAGAAAAACCTTCTACACTAAATCCAGAAAACAGCCGAATGAAAATATAGGATTCATGTAGCCGATCCCAAGTAATTGGGAAAAGGATTGGTGGTGGTGGTTGTTGTTGTGGTACTAAATACAGAAAACCATTTCTATATCTGCAGTCGTCAATTGGCTTGGAGTATCCTTCCCTGGTTTTCTTCCTCAACCACTGTAAATTGGTAGTACAAAATAATGTTAGGGGACGAACTATCAAATCTTTAAATAAGAGGAAAAATAATTTCCCAGTGAGCCATAAATATAGAATCGATAGCAGAATCCAGAGAAGTGCAGTTGAATAGTTGTCAAAGTGAATACTATTAGAGAGAGAAATATCCATAATTGTTGAGGGTGAAGATGATACAGTCATGACTATACAATGGATTTCAAATTCCTTTATTAGTTTGGCCATGATTGCATCTATTCATCATTTCTAGTTTTTTATCTTCACCCCACCAATATTAACAATCAAAATTTTACAATGAGTAAAACTAAGAGAACAACTTAATTACCTTCATTTGCATTGGTAGAAACAGGAATGGGCGATGATGAATTTGCAGTCTTAATTGTTGATTGAGTGTATTCCCCTGAATGAAGCAATGAGGTCATAGCCTCTCTCACTTTCTCCACCACACCAGCATTTCTGGGAGTTTTCTGTAGGCCTATTGCCTCAGTTATGACCTGCGAAAGTGCCCTCTCATCTTCCCCTGGCTCAAGCTTATGCATAAAATACTCCTTCAACGGAACACCTTTATCCCATGTTACATACAAAAGTAAAGTGGCAAATATATATACATCAATTCAGTTTAAATGGATTGCTACATAAACCAATTCCCCTTAACCTAAGCGTGCTATTTCCCCATGTTGCATGGTCTAAGATATAAAATACAAAGGGTTTGAGATTTTCATTTTGACATATACATAGGAAGCTCATGCTGAAACTTTAGCCGTATAATTGACCAATCTTGGCAACATTGCATCCATCCCAGAGAAGTGGCTTGTTGTAGAACAGATTTTGTTACTACAGCTTTTGAGTCGTATGAAAAAGTAATAAGCTGCTTCTTATATGAGAGTTTCTCTTCAATATGAAATGCCACTGAGAAATATATAGATGATAGTATAAGAAGAGTGAGGCATGATGATAATCTATAAGTGTTAATGCAATATTACAGACAATCCACATCCATAATTCTGAGTAAAATGAATTTACAGCCACAAACTAGCATATATATATATATATATATATATATATATATATGCAAGGCATGAAAATTATCCAATCTAACGACCCCTTATTAGGATTGACTCGTTGCTGGACAAAGAAAAAGTAGACATTACAAAATCAGCAGTTGCTCCATGACCAAGTATTACCATTCCAATCTCTGCACGTTCAAGTAGTATCTCCGGAAAGACATCTCCATTCAAATATTGTATCACTTGCCTCATGCTAGGCCTAGCCACTGGATTAGAATGTGAGAAGAGCAGACCTACCTTCAAGATGAACTCCATTTCCTCTACCGCATAATCACCTCCCAATCTCGGGTCAATGGTTTCAAGAATAGCTCTTTGTTTCCATCTCTCAAAAACCCAATCAACCAAAATTCTCTCTCGAGGCAATCGTTGTGGCTCTACAGGCCTCCTTCCACATGCAACTTGAGGAGGCCCCGGATGACATGGGCCAGATCCAACTCGCAAACATAGCATTCAGTCCGTACTGCTGGGCCAGCCCATAGAAGGACACTGCCATATGGGCCGAACGAGAGTAAGCCCATCAAAGGTGACCAAGGCTTACGAAGGAATAGGCCCAGATCCAGCAATCAGTAAATATCTTGTAAATATCTATAAATAGGAGATGGAATGTAATGGGGGGGGATCTTTTTGGGTTGAGGTGTAAGAATTCTAGAGAGAGAAAGAGGAGAAGGAATTTCTTGCATCTTCAATTGGCGCCGTCTGTGGGAAACGCATGGAAGTTTGGTTGATCAATGAGGAATATCTAATGGATTCAAACCAATTCGGTTGATCGAGACTCGATCTTTGGGATTTGAATCCAGAGCTGAGCGATTGTGACCTGCTCTGGAGGAACTACAATTCTTGAAGCTTTGGAGTGACTTCAGATCTACGAGTTGTTCGATTGTGGCAGGATCTGACGGATTTAGAGTTCAGACAATTCAGATCTCGTAAACAGTGAGCATAATTCGGAGAATTAGAAGCCAGATCTAAAAATTCCTACTCGCGAAGCTCAGATCTACTCGCGAACTTGAGATTAATGCCTTTACTCCGTTCGGGAATAATGATAGGTGAAAGCTCCAATCCGATGGAGGCTGTCCAGCAAACAAAGCTTGAAGAATTGATGAACTTGATTGAAGCTCTCAAAAAAGAAAATGCAGAATTGAAAGCTGGACTGCAGCATCGGCAAATACCTGCGGTTTCGCATCCACTTCTGGTCGGAGAAGGAGGTGTTCAATCTAATATCGCGCATCAAGGCGATCAGGACGAGAACAATCAGTCAGCTCACCACCGTGATGAAAGGATGATGGATAATTTGCCGCCAAATGTTCGTCGAGTTGAAGATCACGAAGGATCGACTCACGTTGATCCACAGCGGGAAAGGTTTGACCGAGAGGAAGTGATGGAGGTTGATCGCCGTCGAGTAGCGTCGCCTTGGCAAAGAGAGTTCATAGAGGAACGGTCGTTCGATCCGTCTTACCGGCCCTCCATGGTTACTGTCACTCATCACGGTTCGGAGGGCAGAACCGTAACTCACAGAGCTACCGCTGGACTCCAGAGAGAGAATGAAGCTCTCCGATCCGCAGCTCGGACGGTGGATTCGCCATTCACCGACGAGATCTTGAATGCGCCGCATCCAAGGAAGTTTGCTATGCCAGTCTTTATTCTGTTTGACGGAACGACCGATCCGATCGACCATGTGTATCATATCCAGTTGAAAATGGCCCTGAATACGGAAAACGACTCTTTAATGTGCAAATGTTTCCCTACAAGCCTGGCCGGACCGGCGCTCAGCTGGTTCAAAAACTTGCCTAGGAGCTCCATTGGTAGTTTCAGAGACCTGTGCGATCGGTTCATAAGCCAGTACTATGGGAACAAACGCCCGCCGAAGGACATCTCGAGCCTATTCACGATGCGGCAGCACAAGGATGAACGTCTCCAGGCCTTTCTTACCAGGTTTAATCTCACTAAGAGTATGGTGATCGAATGCCACCCTTCAACGGCAGTTCAAGCCTTCAAGTTAGCCATGACACGCGGAACTCCGTTTCACACCAGTCTGGTAGTGAACACGCCGACTACTATGGATGAACTCAATGAGAGAGCCGATGGCTTTGTGCGCCTAGAAGAAGAGGAGGCAGCTAATGCTCGGACAACGTCGCTTGTGTCGACCGAGGAAAAGTCCAAGGCAAAGATCAGGCAGAAGCAGGCTCAGCCGCAACGTCAGACCTCTTGGAAGGCAGAAAAAAGGTCCAGGGAGGAAGAGTTGATTACTCCGCTGAAGGTCACTCTGGCGAGGCTGTATCAGGAGAACAAAGACAAGTTTCATCCACCACTGCCAATTAGGCAACCCCTCGAACAGAGGGATCAAACTAAACATTGTGCTTTTCATTCTGATTTCGGTCATCAGACTAACGAATGCAGGAACCTGAGGAGGCAAGTGGAGATGTTGATAGCTAGAGGGGAGTTCGCGAGTTATGTTCAAGGCTCGGCGATGGAGCAGAATCGACCGGTGGAACAAATAAAAAGGAGTCATAAACAAAGCTCCCACAATTCGCAACCAGTTCGTATAATCAATGCTATCCATGGTCGACCCGAGCCTAGTGAAGAGTCAGATGAGCTGCTCCGGGTGCGCCTGAGGCAGGCGCAGATGAAGAAAAGGGTCGGCAATGTGACTACTCTACACCAGCAGAGCCCGTCAATGCAGATAAAGTTCGACTGGACAGACCTGCAGCGTGTTCAACTGCCTCATGACGATCCGTTGGTAGTCAGTTTGACAGTGGCAGATTACCTGGTGCGCAGAGTTCTGATCGACCCTGGGAGCAGTGCGAACGTCATGCCGAGGGACACATTTGACAGGCTCGACATTAAACCAGAGAGGCTCAAGCCCACCGGAAATCCCTTATTAGGGTTCGATGGGAAGAGGGTGGAACCCGTCGGGATGGTGGAAGTGGAGGTTCAAGCTGCAGAACGAGCTCTTATGGAAACTTTTGTGGTTGTGGAAATTCACCCCTCGTATAATCTCCTGATGGGAAGAGGATGGATTCACAGAGTCCGAGGTGTACCCTCAACTCTGCATCAGGTCATGAGGTGCCTCGGGCCCGATGGAGATAAAGTAATAGACATTCGGGGGGATCAGGTCGCAGCCAAAGAGTGTTATTCCGTCACACTAAAGCATGCTGGGAAAGGAAAGGCGCCCGTCCGTTCGGCAAGCCCCAGATAGCAATTACAGGAACCTCCGCTCGAGCAGAATAGGGTGGAGGAGTCAGTTGACTTGACCGAGGAGCCCCTTCTGGATGTGCAGATCGATCAGTCCAGGCCAGAACGAACTACCAGAGTAGGTATAAGACTGACCAGAGAAGAGCAGCAAGAGCTAGTGGATTTCTTGTCCCACAATGCCGACGTATTTGCATGGAGTCACCTAGACATGCCTGGAATTAGTCCCTCCATATCCTGTCATTCCCTGAATGTCAATCCCAATTTCAAACCAGTGAAACAGAAGCAGCGAAGATTTGCTCCAGAGCGTAATCAGATCATAGCGGAAGAAGTCGATAGGCTGCTTGACGCGGGATTTATCAGAGACGTGCACTACCCTGAGTGGTTGTCCAACGTCGTTGTGGTGCAGAAGAAAAATGGGAAATGGCGAGTATGCATTGATTTCACCAATTTGAACAAAGCCTGTCCAAAGGACAGCTTCCCGTTGCCTAAGATTGATCAAATGGTGGATGCCACCACTGGGCATGAGCGTTTAACCTTTCTGGACGCATATTCAGGTTATAATCAGATTCCTATGGACCCCGCAGATGAAGAAAAAACTTCTTTTGTCACCGAGCGAGGAACATACTGCTACAAAGTTATGCCTTTCGGGCTAAAGAATGCGGGAGCAACTTATCAACGACTTGTTAGCAAAGTTTTCAAGAATCAAATGGGTAAGATTGTCGAAGCCTATATTGATGATATGGTGGTAAAGAGTAGGAAAAAGGATGATCATCTGAAGCATCTGCAAGAGGTATTTGATGTACTAAAGCGATATGGGATGAGGCTCAATCCGACCAAGTGCTCGTTCGGTGTGAGTTCCGGACAGTTTCTGGGACACGTGGTCAACCGCAGGGGCATCGAAGTTAGCCCCGCTCAAGCAGAGGCTTTGATTAAGAATGCCGAGCCAAAGACGATCAGAGAGGTGCAAGCCCTAGCAGGACGAATAGCTGCATTAAGTCGATTTATTTCAAAATTGTCAGATCACTGCAAACCATTCTTTGACACGATTCGGAGCCATGGAAGGCAGGTCTGGGGGGATGAGCAACGACAAGCATTGACTCATTTGAAGCAATATATGTAGAATCCACCAGTCCTATCAGCCCCAGAACCGGAAGAAAAGTTATTTCTATACCTTGGAGTATCTGGTGTCGCGACGAGTGCCGTTCTGATTCGTTGCAAGGGAGGGGTGCAATACCCGGTATTTTATGTAAGCAAAACACTGATGGAGGCAGAAAAAAGATACTCAAAGGCCGAACGGGTGGTACTTGCACTTATAAATGCAAAAAGAAAGTTGAGGCATTATTTCGAATCCCACCCCATAGCTGTTCTAACAACTTTCCCAATCAGAACGCTCATGCACAAGCCAGAGCTCTCGGGCAGAATGACAAAGTGGGCCATAGAGTTGAGTTCATTTGACATAACGTATGAGCCGAGAACAGCTGTTAAAGGGCAAGCGGTAGCCGATTTCCTACTAGAATGTGATGCCGAAGATACGGAAGAGGACCTTAGAAGCGGCTCTTGGAAACTTTTTGTGGATGGCTCCTCTAACCAGATGGGGGCTGGGATTGGGATCAAACTGCAAACCCCAGAGGGTACTTCCTTGAGCCAAGCACTCAGACTTGAGTTCCGAGCCACCAATAATGAAGCGGAATACGAGGCGTTGCTAAATGGATTAAAGTTGGCCAGAGAGCTACAGATCAAAATTTTGACAGTGTATAGTGACTCGCAGCTGATTGTTCGGCAGGTAAATGGTGAGTACGCAACCAAGGATGACACGATGGGGGCATATCGTTCTGCCGTTCTGCGTAGAGCCAAGGACTTTGCAAAGATTGAATTCATACAGTTGCCGAGGGAACAGAATGCAGATGCAGACCGTTTAGCATGCAGTGCTTCGAGTTGCGGTGAAACATTGGCGAGGGTGATTCCAGTAGGAATAGTGACCCAACCATCCATTTTCGAAGAACCGATGGACTCTGACCCTTGGCAAGTCAACGTCATACCGTATGAACCGAGTTGGATTGACCCAATCATTACCTATATTCGAGATGGCGTTTTGCCTATGCAAAGGGATGAAGCTAGGAAACTCAAAAAGAATGCTGCCAAGTACGCCATCGTGCGGAACCAGCTGTACAGAAGGTCCTATTCTGGCCCGTACTTGAAATGTGTCACCCCCGCGGAGTCGCAGCAGGTATTGCGAGCTATTCATGAGGGTGTGTGTGGCAATCATTCTGGGGGAAGATCGTTAGCGCATAAAGCAATGACACAAGGGTATTTCTGGCCAAACATGTCAAGAGATGCGGAGGAGTTCTCTCGAAGGTGCGATAAATGCCAACGATATGGACCATTGATCCACCAACCACCTGAGGAATTGCACGTAATGGCCTCGCCGTGGCCTTTCGCGCAATGGGGGATGGATGTGGTCGGTCCTCTGCCAACTGTAAGAGCTCAGAACAAGTATGTGTTACTGGCCACGGATTACTTCACTAAATGAGTGGAGGCAGAATCGTATCCTAGCGTGACTCAGACTCAGGTGAGACGATTTATTTGGAACAACATTATCTGCCGTTTCGGTGTTCCCAGATCGATAGTCATGGACAATGGCACAAACCTCGACAGCAGGCAAGTAAGAAAGCTGCTGGAGGAGTATGGAATCAACCAGAAGTTGGCTGCAGTAAGTCATCCTCAGGCCAACGGACAAGCAGAAATCACAAACAGAACTATTTTCGCCTGCATTAAGAAGAAGCTGGAAGATCATAAGGGGAAGTGGTTGGATGAACTCCCGAACGTTCTATGGGCTTACAGAACCACCCCAAGGCGGCCGACTGGGGAGAGCCCGTTCGCAATGGCGTATGGTACCGAAGCAGTTATACCGGTTGAGCATTTAGTCCCCACTATCAGAAGCTTAGCATGGAGTCGAGATCAGAACGACAAGATGTTAAGATTGAACCTCGACATGATAGACGAAAGGAGGGACGCAGCGGCTATAAGGCTAGCATCGTATCAGCAAGTGCTGGCGAATAGTCACAACAAGAGAGTAAAACACAGGGATTTTGCCCCTGGCGATCTGGTTCTGAAAAGAAAGGTGGGGATGGTCAAAAAAATGATGCCACCCTGGGAAGGCCCATACAGAATTGCAGAAATCATTGGCAAGGGGGCATATATGTTGGAAACCATGGCGGGAAGGTTGGTCAGCAAGCCCTGGAACGCCACGTCTCTGAAGAGGTACTACCAATAAAAGCTAATTTCTGGCTTTAATTGGATGTTGTTTGTTGTCAATCAAATACGTATGAATGAGCAAGTTACTGAAATTTACAAAAAAGAATTTTCTTTTCCAACGGTCTACTAATGAAACTTAAAGCCAAGTGGCAAGTGGCATTCTAGCCGAGCGCCAGGCACTTAAGCAAGATAAGTGGCAGCTGGCACTATAAGCCGAACGCCAGACACTTGCTAAAAACTTAAAGCCAAGTGGCAAGTGGCATTCTAGCCGAGCGCCAGGCACTTAAGCAAGATAAGTGGCAGCTGGCACTATAAGCCGAACGCCAGACACTTGCTAAAAACTTAAAGCCAAGTGGCAAGTGGCATTCTAGCCGAGCGCCAGGCATTTAAGCAAGATAAGTGGCAGCTGGCACTATAGGCCGAACGCCAGACACTTGCTAAAAACTTAAAGCCAAGTGGCAAGTGGCATTCTAGCCGAGCGCCAGGCACTTAAGCAAGATAAGTGGCAGCTGGCACTATAAGCCGAACGCCAGACACTTGCTAAAAACTTAAAGCCAAGTGGCAAGTGGCATCCTAGCCGAGCGCCAGGCACTTGCCGTAAACAAACACACGGCAAAGCTAATATAAAAGAAAAAGATAGAAAAGATATGTATGTATTGAAGATGAGTTGAATAGAGCACAACACATAGGGAAAAAGAGTTCTGTCGTTTCATTAATATTGAACATTGAGTTTACAAAAGAGAGATGTCCATCATTACAAGAAGATATGAAATGGAAGAATTCGAAGGAGCCCTAGCCAGACGCCTCAGTACCAACAGCATCCTGGTCGTGCCGACTCGCCTCCTCGGCCCCATCAGCCGCCTCACCTTCATGAGGTGGGGAATCAAGGTGAATGACTGAATCGTTCGGCTGGGGTTCAGCGTCAGCAGTGGCTATGGAAGGAACCACGGTTGACGATTGAGGAGCGGTCAGTGGCAGAGCGGTAGGAGGAGCTGTGATGATCCTTGAGGATGCGATGTCCTGGCACTCATCAAATATACACTCCGCTTCGGTGGGTTCTAGGTCGACATAGACCCCCAGAGGTTCGATCCCCAGATCCTTGTCTACCTCATCCGGAGTGGAGCTGGTCTGTCCCTCATCCGGAACCCGGTCGGCGAAACCTTCCCGGAATCCTTGAGCATACCTAAGAGCACCGACCCTTGAGAACCGAGCGTGAAGGGCCAGCATCCCACCACCCACTCTGCTGATCGCGTCGATCAGAGCGGTACGCTCCTCCAGAGCTCTTTTTTCAAAGGCCATCCGAGCAGACTGTTCATCAGCTAGAAGGCGCTGGAGTTCTGCCTTCTCTTCTTTAATTGATTCCCGCTCGGTCTGCCAGACGCTCTTCTCAAGCTGGAGGGCGTCCTTCTCATCCTGAAGGGAATCATTCTCCTTCTTCAGGACATCTCTCTCTTGCTCGGTTTTGTCAAGCCGAACCAGCACCTCGGTATTCTTCATGGCAAGGAGGTCGTTTTCTTTATTAGCCACCTCCAGGCTGTCAGAATACTTACGGGCCCTGGCGTTCCCCATCTCCACCTGCTTCTGCATGGCCATCATCCCGAACAATGTCTGCATAGGTGCACATTAAAAACGGTTAAACCAATGGTCAGAACGGGCGAAGGCAAGACCAAGTAATATGAGAGAATTCATGAGTTAGAAAATAAAAGTCACCTCCATAGCAGATTGGGGAAAGCGGCTGAACACATCCTTCTGGGAAAGGCCCTTTGCCGCCTCAAGGTCCTTAGGAGTCCACATGCTCCTGTAGTAGGCCATAGCGGTCTGGCCATCCCTCAGCATGGTCTCGTTCGGTTTCACGAACGTCCCATCCGTTCGGGTGTACCGAGGGGCCCATGGCGGTAAGCTGGGGATAGAAGGGGGGCCTGAAGCAGAAGCAGAGCCACCAGCTGCAGGAGGCCCAGAGGGAGAAGGAGCTCTGATCGCTCGGTGCAAGAGAGCACCCGGCCCAGAGACCCGGGTCCTTCTAATGAGAGGCTCCTCCTCAGGATCGATTTCACTGTCAGGATGAGGCCTTTTGCCTCGTTCTTTGTCCCGACCGCCCCCCGCAGCAACAGGAGCTATGGTAGCTGGGGAGGGCGCGTTCTGGTTGGCAGCAGGGGCGCTGGCAACAGGGTTAGTAGCCACTGCGCTCGGGACAGTGTCAGATATGGTGGCTGAAGAAGAAGCTGATGCTGGAGAGGAGGTCGCCCCAGCAGCAGGAGTGGCTGGGGGAGTATTTTTCCTCTTGCCAAAAGAGGGAATCTGAAGTCTGCTCATGTTGTAGCCGAGTGATGAGAGCGCTAAGAGGTTGTCTGAAGTGAGGAGATCTGAGCAGGAAAGAATATCGTTCAGAACGTATCTCTTCAAGTAGTTACTCCTATCCCTGCAAACACTATAGCTCAAGTCATCACAAGGTATTCCCAAGGAGCGGCATAAGAAAGTGCAAAAACGAGGAACGCATGTTTCACAGGGGCAGTCATGTTTATGGGATTTGAATTTTTTATAGGAGGAGACAGAGCAGACACCAAAGGCGCTCGGGATTGGGTAACCCTCTGCAGCCGGCGAAGACCAAGCCCCACTAATGCCCACTATGCTGTCCCTCCAACCCTTTTCAGATTTAATTGTGTCAGTACATATGGACATCTTCTCGAACGGGTAGAGGTGGTAGAAGGGCTCGTTAGTACGGATCTTACTCACCTTATAGCACAGAAGGAGGTCTATGAGGTCGAGGTCCAGATTTCTGTCACGCATCAACAAGAGCATAACAGATATGATTCTAAAGAAGTTGGGGTTGACCTGCAGAGGGGATATCCCCAATCTATTGAAGACATAACTAAAGAAAGGGTGCAGAGGGAACCTAACAACATTCAATTGAAGGTTCGTGAATAAGACTTCGCCGGGCAGGAGGCCGGCGCCGGTCGTAATATTAACGTCTTGGGGGCAAACCCTAACTTCGATGTTGTCAGGAAGTCTAAGTCTCATACGAAGAACATCCAGATCTACAACCATGGTGGAAGTGCTAGAAGAATCTATAAGAGGGTAAATGGAAGCCTGCTGAAAGTAAAAAGAACGAAACTAACCTCGAAGGACTGCAAGATCGCTGGAAGAATGACTCTTGAAGGATTTCACCAGAGAAAGCTTAGCACTGTTCTAAGAAAAAAAAAAGAGACTTGGCTGATGATGGAGACGGTAAAGGGAAGTGAAGTGGAATTCTAGAGCATTATAAAGGCGAGGGGGCCCGAGGGCCGAAGCGTCGGGAAGGCGAGAAATCCCTCGAGCCCCGGAATATTGATTCTGGATCTGACCGTCCGCTCCCCCACGTGGTTATCTCGAGCCGTCAACGTCATGATGAGACGCCATCAATAATTACCCCTTATTAAATAAGGGGCAATTATGGGGGCAGTTGAGGAGGCCCCGGATGACATGGGCCAGATCCGACTCGCAAACATAGCATTCAGTCCGTACTGCTGGGCCAGCCCATAGAAGGACACTGCCATATGGGCCGAACGAGAGTAAGCCCATCAAAGGTGACCAAGGCTTACGAAGGAATAGGCCCAGATCTAGCAATCAGTAAATATCTAGTAAATATCTTGTAAATATCTATAAATAGGAGATGGAATGTAATGGGGGGGGATCTTTTTGGGTTGAGGTGTAAGAATTCTAGAGAGAGAAAGAGGAGAAGGAATTTCTTGCATCTTCACAACTTCAAGCATAAATGCCCCAAAAGCAAAAACATCGGTGAAAGTAGTCGCCTGGCCTGTTCTAGTAAGCTCTGGTGCAATATACCCAACAGTTCCAACGACATCAGTGATTTGAGGGTTAGCTCCATGATCACACAATCTAGCTAGCCCGAAATCTCCAAGTCTTCCATTTAGATCAGCATCCAAAAGAACATTACTGGCCTTCACATCTCTATGTATAACAACTTGTTCCCACTCTTCATGCAGATATAGAAGGGCGGATGCTACCCCTTTGATGATTTGATAACGTTGAGCCCAATCAAGGTTTGGTTTTTCATTGCTGAATAAAAACTTGTCAAGGCTTTCATTGGGCATATAATCATAGACTAAGAGCAGCTCTCCTCTTCTTCGGCAATAACCAAGGAGCTGCACCAAGTTCCTGTGCCTTAGCCTTCCCATGCTAGCAATTTCAGAAACAAATTCCTTCATCCCTTGTATTGATCCGTGGGAGACTTTCTTTACCGCGATTTCTTTGCTGGAAGATGGGAGTACTCCTCTGTAAACCTTTCCAAAACCTCCTGCTCCAAGAAGCTCTCTGTCTTTGAAACCATTTGTTGCTTTGTGCAAATCCTCATAGGAAAATCTTTGAGGTCCATATTCCTGTTCCCAATCTTCACGTAATTCTTCATATCTTTTCCTCCTTGTAACATAAACTGTCCAGGTGATCGCGATGAAGATCAGCACCATTGATACTGTTATTAGTGAGACTGTAACATATAGACCTATTTTCACCCTTGATTTTCTGTGTCTTGGAAATGAAGGAAGCTTTGAGAGTTCTAATTCTTGTGCTTGCCCTTTCCTGTTGAAGCTCCACCCAAGAACATAGTGGTTGCTTGTAGCAGATGATCCTGTTGCTGCAGAGAAACAAACATACATGCTGTCCAGGAGAACTAGAGAAAGATCGAGGGCTGTTGACAAGAGTGGTCGAATTGGTTTTGGAGTTTTGATAGGAGCTAATGTTATGTTGAGTAGCTTTTCCACTTCATCATAATCTATCCAAACTTGTATTGCATTCCCACTCACGAGCTCCAAGCTCTGTTTTACCCCTTTTGTACTATTGGAAATATATGTCACAGGAGTCGAAACATTAGATTTTAGGCTGTTTACATCAATTCCCACATGGTTCCCATCTATATCTGCAACATCAAGACTCTGAACGGTATCAAACTCAACTGCCAAGAGATGGTTTGAAGACTGGCCGTTGTTAGAAGTATTTAAGAGTCCCAAAAACTCTGTATGCATGGCGTGTGAGAAGTCCATGGATGGGGAGATGGTGAAGGCCATGCCATGGCCACCATCATTTGGCAAATTTGGAATAATGGCAAAGACCAAAGTGGTGGAAAATGAAAGAGACCGAGTCAAGCTGGATGAGGATGTGTTAAATTTCAGAGGAAATTGGTAGAAAGCATTGCCAATTTGTTGGTTGGAAGTGGTGGTCAGCTGCAAAAGACCATTATGATGAATTTTTGCGCTCCCATTGAGATGAAGATTTGTTCCACCGAAGCCATGATAGATGAACTGGTCTTCAGCTTGAGTTAAGGCCAATAATTTTATTGGCAGAGAAAAAAGTATCAAGAAGAGAAGTGATGTTAGAGTTATATTCATTGAGAAAAGTAGGAGAAAGAGGTTTCTCATTTGCAAAGACAGGTGGGGTTTTTGCTTGCTTGCTTAAAACATTAAAAATTGAATTTGTAGAATTTTTTTTTTTTTGAGATTAAAATTTGTTGGTCATGCATAAAATACACTGGGCCAATTAGAAGTAAACGGTGGGTAGGATTATAATAAGTCCACCATTCTAATTTTAATTTATTCTCATCTTTGTTATCATATGATAATTTGGGTTTATGGAAATTGAATTTTCCTGCTAAAAAAATACACTCCACCCAATGGCAGCCTAATTAGCATTCTAAAACGATCAAGGAAAATAAAATCCTAAAAGAAGTCACTTCAACTGTGCCTAGCTATAGGTTATTGGAAAATGCTGATTTTCATGTTTAGTCAATTCAATCATTTGGAACAACTTCCTATATATATATATATATACATGATTGTGTCAATCTACTAATTTAGTGAGTCTAATCTAATTTGGGAAATTATATATAGTCCAAACAAAAACTCACATGATGTGGCTAGTAATTATTGTTTTTGTTTAAACCTCAATCTTAAACCTAGAGTCACTCATCTCTATACAACTTTAATTTCTTGGTTTATTTAGTATGTCAAGCATTCTGTACCGTATAACATTTCTCATCTATTAGAATACTAATCCTTGGCAAAAGAGTAAAGGACTATATATATGGTATTTACAAGAAAACTTTTTTTTTTTCTTTTCCTCATTTTTTTTTTTTTTTTGTTTTTTTCAGTAAAACTGCATTTGTTCAATTCTAGGAAAATTGGTTTCTAGAAAAATCAGATCAATTTCAGATTCCCCAAAGTCACTGCATGGTCTAATTCTTCTGCAGAATTTTTTTAATTGACTAATAAAATGAAAATGAAGATTTCAAATGTTCTGGTTTTGAACTTTTGATGCCCTGTTTCCATGCCTGCTTTTTCTTTCATCTTGCATGCCTAGACTTTCAAGATGGATCCAAAATGAAAATTCCATGCTCTTGCTTTCCCTACACCGGCTGGAACTGGCAGATGAATATTCAACTTTTTAGGATTATGGGATTTTCCCATTTTATTATAGGATTATGGGTTTTTTTATTTTATTCAACTTTTTTTTTGTAACGACCCAAATCCTCATGGATCCGGATCATTAAACGGGTCCTTACCCAACCCAAAATCATCCAAGGGTAAAATGGTCATTTCACGTCAAAATTAAATAACAAGGTCCAAAAAGGGCAAATTGGTAATTTGCCATGAATCCATAAATTGAGACTCAAGGGTATAATAGTCCTTAACTTGAATCCCATAGTAAATAAAATAAGGTTCGGGACAAAATAGTCCTTTTGGGGCAAAAATATAATTATGGCATTTAATTGGGTCATAAAAATAATTAATTTCAACTTCAAATGATGCCAAAGAGTAAATTTAAGAACTTAAATTTGTAATTACATGAAAAGGCAGAACCGGTCGACGTATACTCCTTATACGTCGACTGGTTTGGGATATGCACAGTGGGAAAACCCACTACCATGATACCGATCAACTGGTTAGGGATCAGGATACCGGTCAACGTATGGGATGCCATACGTCAACTGGTTTGGGACGTTAACAACTCAAACATATACTGTGAAGATACTGGTCGACCGGTTTGGGTTATACGTCGACCGGTTCTTGAAAATCTTCACTCCCACTCTCCACTGTCCTGTGTAACCCCAATACACCCACTTCTGATCGTTCAACCACCCACGTGACAACATTTACGTGCAAAATTAATACATTTCAACATCAAATTGTAATAACAATCACCACGTCGGTAACGTGATTTACAACCCGTTACTTAAAATACACAAAACTGATTTTGAGTGAGTAATACTTAATTACATTTTTTTCAAGGATCATTCACAAACTTAATTACATTCCCAAAATTATAATTACACACGAAATAGCTAAATGCAAGATAGCAAAAATTATCTTCTAACAACTTTCAATTTTGAGGTGGATTGGCATCCGCCGGTTCTTTTCTAAGACCTGAAAAAAAATAATATATAGTAGGGTGAGCTATATGCTCAGTAGGTGACACTTAAGACACATATCTTGTGTCCTTGTGAATCCAATCAAAGTATAGGCCAATGGGAAATGGGGATCATGCAATGTAGGGTTAAAACAACTCCAATGTCAATTCCAAGTGTAAACAATGCAATGTAAACAATGCAATGCAATGAAATGCAATGCATGATATGTCACTCCCCATTTTCATTTCTCAAAACCATACTTTCCAACTGTTAATACAGCCCGCCCTTTGGTAACCCTGCCACGACACGAGAGTAGGATTGGCCAGTGTCCCTGACCCTTGGTAACCCCGCGGCGTCATTATGGGGCCTAGCTAGCTCAACCACGTTAGGGCTACTCCCTAGTCCCCTCTAGGCTATATTAACCTCCGGCCCATTGGTAACCCCGCAGCGACCGGGTTTATCAAAACCATTTCACAAAAACTCTTCTCCCAAAATTCCCGTTTTCATTTCAAAAACTGATTTCTCCCATTTCATGCAACCCAATGGCATGTACATGTATATGTGTCTCAAGCTTACAATATTATGGCATGTAGAAGTTTTACATTTCATAATTACTTCACAACTAAGCATATATCATATTCAACATCATCAATTGAGTCATCAACACATTAAACACAACAAAACTATCACCACAACATGCTTTTCACAGAGAACAAATCATAATCAAAATCATGAATTTCTCTAGACATCAATTACACAACATTTAAACAATTAACTCTCAAATTAAGCATGTTTATCACACAAAGGAGATATAACTCACAATAGAACAAAAAGAAAGTGGATTAAGGGCCCCTACCTCAAGTTTGCACCAAAACCCTAAAGATGGGTCTCAATTTCGAATTCCCTAGGGAGGCTCAAAGCTGGAATTGATGGTACTCACGCGTAGAGCTTGTCGTGCTCTCCGTTTTGCCTCAAACGGCACCTTAATCCGCCAAGAATTGAGAGAATAATCAAAGCTCAAAGATTGCCTTTCAAGTGGAAAGAAAAAGAAAAGGAAAATGAGAGAGGGAGAGAAGCTACGGGGAGAGAGAGAATGTGTGGAGCAAAGAAGTGTGGTCTCAAGACCATTTCAAGTGTGAGTGGTGGGTCCCACCAGATTTTCTTTTCTTTTTCGTTTTTCTTTTATTTCAATTCTTACACCACACACACAAGTGCACCACATGCAAATACTACTTAATCCACATAATTTAAAATGCACAATGCAAATGGACTCAACCACAATCCCGAACACAACATGCGAAAAGACAAAAACACCCTTGTCTCCACGAATTATTGAAAAAATGAAAATGCTGAAAAATCATAAACATCACATTTTTTTTTCTTCAGTAAAACTACATTTCTTCAATTCTAGGAAAATTGGTTTCTAGAAAAATAAGATCAATTTCAGATTCCCCAAAGTCACTGCATGGTCTAATTCTTCTGCAGAATTTTTTAAATTGAATAATAAAATGAAAATGAAGATTTCCAATGTTCTGGTTTTGATGCACTGTTTCCATGCCTGCTTTTTCTTTCATGCATGCCTAGACTTTCAAGATGGATCCAAAAGGAAAATTCCATGCTCTTTCTTTCCCTGCACCGAAGTCAAATATGACTAGAACTGGCTGATGAAAATTCAACTTTTTGGGATTATGGGATTTTCCCATTTTATTATATGATATTGACCTTCATTATAATAGTATTGTCAAAGCAAAGGGTGATATTATATATCATATGTGATTTCTCATTTTACTATATAAAAGATTATATAGCTTTTATTTTTATTTTTATTTTTTCCCCTGGGAAACAAGACCATTTCATTAATATAGAACAAATTTACAATCTTCATCAGCTATTTTCTGAACATCAATAGGAATACATGCATGAGAAAACTTCATCTACACTATCCTGCAACCATGTTCTCCAGTAAATGTTAGAAGAATGTTTGAATTGTTCATTTGCATGCCAATAAATGAGGGATGAGGAAGATGTAGTTCTTTACAGGACATGAGATGGATTTGATTTAACATGATGCTGGAACTTCTTTAATATATCCTAAACTCAAATAAAATAAATTCAATTTGCCGTCAAAGGTGAAATATCTTGAACACGTCTTCAAGAATTTCTTAACAGCGCAAACAAAACTAAAAGTATAATTTGGATGAAGATTCCTTGACATGCTCAAGATATGATGTTGAAATATGGCTTTTTGGGTTGTTATAGTTGACTTTTTCTGAAATATTTTAATCATACTTTGTATTTAGATTGCCTCATGCTTCTTTAAATCCATATTAGAAAATGAACCTTCTCAGAAACTGGTGGCTTGTCAAGTTGTCATCCTAAAAAATAAGAAAATAGATTGGGTAATATCAAATCCTGAAAACAAATCATATTCCATTAAATATGGTGACAACTCCAGCACTCTTTGGAGAACACATTCTAAAATATAGATTTTCCTTCACTTTCTCTGCAATGAATTATTATTATTTATTGTCTTCAGTTGATGTCATTTGCATATAGTTGATTATTGCTAGAAGACTTAAGCTGGTTATTGTTTAAGGTCATTATACAAAGCATGTCTGTCTATGTGGAATTAATGCTAGGATGAAAAAATTGGAGGCAAGGTTTGAGTTGTACAAAAATGGTAGTCAAACTCGAGTTCTCACGCTGAACAATTTTCGCTTTCTCAGCATTGTGCTATTAGTTCAGCTGATATAACCTCAAAGAGGAGGTGAGGGGTTTGAGTTTCGAGCCCCATAGTGGGCATTTGTGGATGCGGGCGTGTGTGAGTATTTACCTAACCAAATATATGTTCATATATATACATACATATATTAAGCATCTGCCTCTCACCACATGCTCAAAGTCAAGCTAAAGGCTTCCCTCTGTTAACTTGTTCTCTGAGACCGTCTCTTGTTCCAAATTTCAAATTTCTCAACCACATACAAGCTGCAGTATCTGTGTGGAGATGCTGTTTAGAAAAGTTAATTGCATCAGAACTACCTTTACTATATCTAAATATTCTTTTACTGGAAACATAATATAATTTTCATTACTTGTCTATCAATTGATCGAGACAAATTATTAAAAGACATTAATATGCATCAATGGTGCAATTTCATCTTAATTTTAATGTTTACTACTTTTCTGAAGCTGCAAAAACAATTTACTGTCAATATACATTTGTGTAGAAAACTATAAATATAGCTAAATATACAAAACAGTCTTATACCAATGGAGGAAATGATCATCGGCTAGACTTTATTATCTATTAGAGAAACCTTCTACACTAAATCCAGAAAACCGCAAAATGGAAACATAGGCTTCATGTAGCTGACCCCAAGTAATTGAGAAAAATGATTGGTTGTTGTAGTTGCTGTTGTTGGTGTATTAAATCCAGAAAACCATTTCTATATCTGCAGGTGACCAGATGTTCCTCTTCAATTGGCTTGGAGTATCCTTCCCTGGTTTTCTTCCTCAACAACTGTAAATTGCAGTTCAAAATCTTGTTAAGGGATGAACTATCAAACATTTAAATAAGAGGAAAAATAATTTCACAATGCCAAGTGAACCATAAATATACTCTATAGCAGAATCAAGAGTAGTAAAGTTTGATGGTTATCAAAGTGAATATTTTTAGGAAGATCAGAACAGAATCAAAAGAGAGAGATATCCAAGATTCACATCAAAATTAAATGTACCATGAATAAAACTAAAATAACAACTTAATTACCTTCACATGCATTGGTAGAAACAGGAATGGGTGATGATGAAGTTGCAGTCTTTATTGGTGATTGAGTGTATTCCCCGGAATGAAGCAATGAGGTCATAGCCTCTCTCACCTTCTCCACCACACCAGCATTACTGGAAGTTTTCTTTGGGCTAATTGCCTCAGTTATGACCTGAGAAAGTGCCCTCTCATCTTCCCCTGGCTCAAGCTTATTCATCAAATACTCCTTCACCGAAACACCTTTATCCCATGTTTGATGACCACCACTAGTATGCTCTTTAGTTTCTAGTGCTCGTCCTGACTTCTGAGTGCCACTAGCAGCATCTTCTTTAGTTTCTGGTGCCTTGGGGTTTGCAATGGTCAGGCCTGCAATCTTGGAAGTTATTGTTTGAGTTGCATCGGACACCGCAGCATATGCTGGTGCCAGTTTCTCAGACACGGTTTCACTTATGGTCTTGTTGTTAGGGCCAGGAGTCTTGTTCTTAGGACCAGGAATATTGTTCTTAGGAGTAGGAGGCTTCTCCTTTTCCTCCTCGAGTTCATGCTTGTCACTGATTGGCAAAACATGCTTCTCAGAAGCCATAGGAACTGCTCTTGGTTGCTGCCTTGCTTTCTCTTTGTACTGATCAGGTGCTAGCTCCGATTCATACACTGAAAATAAAAGTAGACAGTCAAATATGAATGTGGATACATACCACATGATTATGCCATCAAATACCACATGTTTGTCACTAATTTTGTTAATTTCCACAAGCATTTGAAGGAAGAAATTCCTCCTTGAATTGAAATGGGTTAAGCCCAATGCTCACGTTTGTGTACAAATCATCTTTTTCATATCTTGAAAACTGTGCGATGGATTAAACACAGAGCTCACAGTGAACACATTAAATTATCCTCTTGGTAGCCTAGCTCAATCTGAAAGTATAGCATTACTGCTAATATGAAATGTATATGGAATAGATTTTTTTTTTTTTTTTTTTTTTTTCTTTCATGTAATGTATATGGAATCATTTTATTTTATTTTATGTTATGCCCTTTTCCTAGCACATCAGAAAAAAGTGGAATGATGGAATCATAACACCACAAATTATGAAAGTTGTAAGTATATATAATACTTGGGGCTCCAAGATATTCAGCATCCTTATTATCTTCTTCATCTTCATAGTCATCCAAGCTAACACCCCATGTGGGTGTGACACAATCATCATGTCCCTGCTGCCTCCTCCTGTTGCTGAGGGAGTGTCGCAATTTCTTAGCCTTCTCCTTCACTTTAGCGAGAACAGATTTCTTGTTATGGTGGGCATGATCTTCTTCTTGGTCGTAATCCTTCCCAAGTGTAGGTGATGTAGATGATGGCCACCTTGAAGAGTCAACTGCTTGAAACATGTACTGTATATGTCAGGACTCATAATTGAATACAACCTTTTCAATTATGTGATATAATATTTATGGCTTCAATGAAAAACATGCATTATGATGAATGATATCAACCACATCATCATGATATAAAAACCGAGTTGAAAACGGAAAAAATAAATAAAAAATAAAAAAATAACCCTCAATCTCAGAGAACAAACTTTTTTTTCTTTTTTTAAAATTCTCATTTTCTATTTGTAGATTGGTTGAAAACTATTAGGTAGTATAAGAAAAGTGAACCAAGCAGACCTTAAAACTTTCTTTTTAGCAATTTATGTTATTGTCATTGCATTGTTGGTTGGTTGCTCTGGTAGAAAAAGCAATGGTATGGAATTACCTTGGAGAAGCTGTTCAACAGTTGGGGAGGTACGAGCCCGGGGAGTTTTAGGGCTATCACGGAACCTCGGCAAGCTTAGTTGAGCCATTGATGCCAACCCAGGAGAACAGTTTTTGGGGTTCCTGCTTTGTGATCTCTAGAAAAGTCTGTGTTGTGTTTGTTTCTTTGTGCATCTCTATAACATACAAAAGGATAGGGAAATTTAAGAACAAGCAGCGATATTCATGCATTACCTTCCGGGTTCTTGTATGGACAATATGGCAGAGAGGCATGTGTCATTTGACAAAGATTATGTGAAGAGCTTGTGGGCTCCATTTTTACAAGTGGCAATAGACTGATGAGAATGTGCTAAGCTTGTTACTACTTCGTGATTCCCAAACACTTTCTAAAAATAGCAGTTGACTAGGCTCAAAGCAACCGGTTTCCTCTTCGTTACCCTAAAACCTTGGGAGAGGAATTTCTTTCAGTGTCACGGTTTCCACTTCATTACCCTAAAAAATTGGCTCTTTAGCAACTAAATTGGTTTCTAATCCCAATACAAAACGAGTTCTTTAGCAACCCTTTTTTCTATTACATGAACACTGCACCAATTCATTCGATGTAAAACAAAAAAACATGTTCGGTAATTACCACCTACCAATTTCTGGAGTAGGCACGGGAGATGGCACGGAAGACAGAGGCAGGAAGGGCAGCCTCCAAAAGTATATTGAAAATGAAAATAACATGGAAATGAATTGTAACAACCCTTAACTGATACCATTGTTTCTTTTTTTTTTTTTTTTTTTATTAAATTCGGCATAACCTCCCCGAAATATGGACCTACCGTAACTTGTTTAAATGCCTTCTTAACCTGTCATGCAACTGATTTCTGAATTCACGGCAACAGTATATGATCATACACAGTCAAATAACACCGATAATTACTTTAACTAAAATTATCATTCCCATTCATCAACAAGGTTACATGCTACCAAATTCCCATCCAAAATACCATCAAATACCTTAGTTACATTACATAACAAAGTTTTGCAATATATATATATATATATATATATATATATATATATATACCTTTACACTTTTAGTGCTTTGTAAAAATAATGGGGAATATACAAAAGACACAAAAGTGAGCTTCTAGTATCGCTCAAGTTTGAGGTGGGTTGTCGTCAAAAAAAAAAAATGTATAAATAGTAGGGTGAGCTATATGCTCAGTAGGTGACACTTAAGACACAAATCTTGTGTCCTTGTGAATTCAAGCAAAGAATAGGCCAATGGGAAATAGAGATCATTCAACGTAGGGGATCTTATACAACACACAAGTCTTTTCCCAATATAATCAATGCAATGCAATGAATGCAAATGCATGCCAATGTCACTCCCCATTTTCATTCTCGAAACCATCACTTTCAAATGTTAATGTAACCCCCTTTGGTAACTTCGCCGCGACGAGAAAAGGATTGGCTACCGTCCCTAGGCCTTTGGTGACTCCACAGCGCCGTCGAGGGGCCCGAATAGCTCAACCACGCTAGGGTACTCTCCTTAGTTCCCTCTAGGTTACATTAACCTACCGGCCCATTGGTAACTCCGTAGCGATCGGGTTTATCAAAACCATTTCACAAAACCATCATCTCCCAAAATTCCCCATTTCATTCCATTGACAAATTCACCCCTTTTTATGCATCCCAATGACATGAGCATGCATGTATGTATATGTGACATGCCTTCAATATTATAACATACAAAATTTTACTCCATAACTTAAACATATAACATGTCAACATATTCGAATGGAGTAACAACACAATTAAGCACAACATAATACATCTAGGCATATATCATGTTCATCATCTTCAATTAAATCAACAGCACATTTAACATCACAAAGCTACAATCTAGACATACTTTTTACATGGAACCAATCAAAATGAAAGTCATGAAATTCTCTAGACCACATTTAAGAAATCATCAACACAAAAAAAAAATCTCAAGTAGAGCATGTTAGCACATAAGAGATATATAATTCACAATGGGACAAGAAGTAGATGGATTAAGATGCCCCTACCCCGAAATCAAGCGAAATCCCTAGAAATGGGTTTCAAATTCGCACTCCAATAGGTGCCCAAAGCTGGAAATTGATGGTATGGATGTATAGAGCCTGACACGAGCTTCGTTTTGCCTCAAACGGCCCCTCAATCCGATAAGCGATGAGTGAGAAATCAAAATCTAAAGTTTGGTTCACAAGTGAAAAGAAAAAGAAGAGAGAAAATGAGAGAGCAGAAAGGCTTACGGGAAAGAGAGAGTGAGAGAGAGAAATGGGTTTCTCACCCATTTTGTGGGTGGGTGGTGGGGCCCACTTACTTTAATTTTCTTTTCTCTTTTTCTTTTTGCTTGATTTACACCTCATACGCATAAAATACTCCTCTAAATAAATGGTACATCATCACACAAATTAAATTCCACAAAATAAAATTGGACTCAACAACAATTCCGGACGATAAGTGAAAAGACAAAAATGCCCTTGCGGCGAAAAATTCCCAGAAAAAAATGAAAAATGCTAAAATTTGGAAGCATCACATGAACCTCATGGAGACATTTGGAGGCTGCTCTTCCTGCTTATAAACCATAGTCAAATAAAAAATATCACTTTTCTAATTTATAAGATTTTCTGGTATCGATGCCCTGTTTTCTGAGGTGCAAACACAAATCCAGATCAGAAGTAATGGAGAAATATAATGCACTATAATGAATGTTTCACCAACATGTACTGCACTCAATAATTCTGAATGAATGGTATTGAAGATCGCCTTTGAAATTGCATGCATAAAAATTAAGGTATTCCAATTGTACAAATAACAAATCATCCGAACTTCTATTCATCAATAATGTAGATTAGAAACAAAACACATTGTACACGGTTGAGAATTCTTTTCATTTTCCATGAGACCAAAACCAAGGCAGAAACGAATTCCAATTCCATTTAACACAGAAGCTGCTCAGTGCCGTACATAAGAGTTCACTATGACTTCCACAACCATCAAAGCTATCTAAACATAATGATTACGCTTTAGGACGTGTATTATTTTGGCAGGAAAGACCAGACTTCATTTGACAGAAACTGAACGAGAACGAGAACTAGAATTTTGAGGTGCAATTATTATTTTTACTGCAACACCTTGAGTTGGCTCAGGACAGTTAATTCCCACCGAGAAGATCCCAGTAATCACAAGCCCACTGGATCCTATTAATTTGTAAGCCAGATGTTAGTGTACCACCGGACATGGCTGCTATCATCAACAGGAGTTCAATTACAACATGTTGATTAACCAGTGGATCTATCACCAAAGAAGCCAAACTTCCAAGATCACTTGCTTCAACTCAAATCTCAACACCAAGGAAGATCAGATCCAATGTTCAGGCTATTGCAATTTCCACCACATGCAGTTGTTGGAAGTCTTTGGAGATCCGAAATGGCTCTTAAAACCCATAGGAATCACGTGCAGCAGTGTGCAAATTTGATGTTCAGAAAATTCAATGGAGGCCCTGGTGTACTCCAAACCCTCTGATAATACGCACTGAACTTGCATGAGATTCAACTCTTGAAATTAGTGTATAATTAGTTTCTTTCCTTCCATAATTCATCGACGACAATCTCCACAAAGGATTTTATCACGAGAGGCATTTATCAATTCGTTTGAAAGAAGGTGCAAGGTCCACTTGAATAAAGAGAACCTTTGGCATAACTCCTCAGTGAAATGATTTCATCCGTACATAGAATTTGATTTCAAATGTTTTCCCAAAATCCATAATCCACCATTCAATGAGGAAAAACAATGATATCAAGTGATTTCAAATGCCAATCATGTAGCGATTCCCACTTCAAATCAGATTATCACCTCCAAGCACAAAGGGAGTTTAGATCTTAAGAATTCTTATGGAGTCCATCCCCACAAAATGAGTCCAAGATCAGCTGCCTATTCCACTGATATGCAACATAGTACATTCAGTAAGTGAAATTTCTACTTCCCAAGAAAACAATTCCAAGTCAGCTCCCTATTCCATTAATTTGGTTATGTGACGAGATCAATTAATTGGTCCTATGTCAACAACAATATCAGTATCTTTTTTGTCAACTCAAACCCAGCTATAAGCAGGCTTCTTTCTCACTCCTTTATCATACATGAGCTTCCGTACTCCTGCTGCATCACTCCAACAACCCCCAGTTGCCAACACATTTGATAGCAGTATATAAGTTGCAGGATCATTAGGACAAAGCTCCACAAGCTTTCTCGCACAACGTGTAGCGATTTCCATATTTCCATGAACTTGAGAAGCACTTAGCAGAGCTTTGAAGACTGAGGGTCCCGGCTCTATTGGCATGGTATTGATAAAGGCTTCTGCTTTGTGTAGATACCCAGCTCGACCATAGAGATCCACAATACAAGCATAGTGCTCAACTTTGGGTGGTTGATGGAAATCATCATTTCTCATTAAATCGAAATACTCAAGTCCCTTTTCCAGCAACCCAGCATGGCTACAAGCAGAGAGCACAGCAAGGAAGGTGGTTAAATCTGGTTTAACCCCAGTTTTTCTCATTTCTTCCAACATTTCAACAGCTTCCTTACCATACCCATGATGAGCACATCCCGAAAGCACTGAGTTCCATGAAATCAAATCATGTTCACCCATTGATGAGAATACCATTTTTGCATCATCAATCCTACCGCATCTTGCATACATGGAAACAAGCCCATTTTGTACCCACATGTTTGAAGCATACCCTGTCTTGAAAATGAGAGCATGGGTTTGCTTCCCCTCTTCAAGGGCTGAAATAATTCCCACTGCTCTTAAAATGCTTGTGAATGTGAAAAAATCAACATTAATGCCGCCTTGCCTCATTTTAGAAAAGCATATGATGGCGTCATCAACATATCCTAAATTAGTGAAACCAGAAATAACTGCATTCCATGAAATTTGATCCCATATTGTAATATTAGAGCAAATTTTATAGAAGCCCTCTAAGCTAGTACTACATTCTGAATATAAAGTGACTAGTGTAACCGCTAAGAATGCATTAGCCTCCAAACCTTCTCGAATAATGCGACAGTGGACTTGCTTGCAACGGTCCAGATCATCAGGATAATGAAATGAACTCAGCAAAGTATTATAAGTCACGTGATTTGGTTTAGGACCCAAGCGCAACATTTCTCTGACTAAAATCAACGCCTCGTCGGGTAGTTGGTTCTGAGCATAGCCAGTAACCATTGAAGTCCAGGTAACAACATTTTTATCAGGCATTTGATTAAACACTCTCCTTGAATCATCAACACTTACACATTTTGAGTACATGTCAATCAAACCCGTACCCACAACAACATTAAAGCAAAACCCAGCTTTCAAACTTAAACCATGCATCTGAGACCCCAGCTCTCCATCTTCTAACCGCGTGCAACCAATCAAAACAGCGGACACACTGAATGACGTCGGAGCTATCCCCGCTCTGAGCATTTCCAGGAACAACTTAACCGATGTTTCCGAGTAGTTTGTTTGCATGTAACCAGAAATCAGTGAATTCCAAGTGACGACATTCCTATGACGCATTTCATCAAACATTTGCCGAGCAGATGAAATCATTCTACATTTACCGTACATATCAACAAGAGCACTGCCAATAAACACATTTGAATTCAAACCCATTTTGATAATGGTGGAGTGGACTTGAATACCCACGTAGAACGAAGAAGTTTTGGCACAATAGGATACAATTTTGTTGAGAATGTAAGGGATGTGTACGGAACCATGATGTTGTAACTGAACCAGGAAATTCAAATCAATGGGGTCCGAATTGCATTCCCAATTGAAGGTTTGGTCGTCACATGAGATGAAATCGTCTTCTGGGTGACTGGAATGGTAGTTGCGGATCGTTAAAGCGCGCGAAAATAGCTGGTTGGCTGTGTTTGCTGCGTTCTCTAATGTGCACCGTAAGTGAAAATTAGGGAAACGTAAGCTCATTTGCTCACCATACGTGGTAAGCAGTCTGAAATTTGTAAAAGGTTAGGGAAACCTATAAGGGAGCTCATCTTTTTATGAGAGGACTTTCTAAATAATCAAACTTAAAATATGTAAAATGTAAAATGTTAATGTTTAAGTAGAGCTTTTTATTTGTTTTTATATAATGTATTACTGATATTTATTTTTTCTCCTTAACTATGATGGATCTTCTACCAGAGAAGATATATGTAGAGAGAGAATGTTTTTCTATCAAATACACTTTTGTTTCTCTATTTTGATTAAATAACAGGATCCCTATCTAATTTCAAATATATTGCCCACCTTTTGTCTGATTTAGGTTTTGAGTAATAGGATCTCTCTTATCATTAAATATGACACTGACTTTTTATCTGGTTTAGTTAGGAGCTACTCCGTATGAAGCAAGGGGTACGATACCATACCAGAGATACTAAAAATGACTAAAAAAAAATACGGGTAGGGCAATTTTTAAAATATATGTATATTTTTTACATAAAAAATATTATTTATATCAATTTTTCATAATATTATGAATTTAAATACAATAATTAACATATTTATAAATAAAGAAGCAAATGAATAAAAGACAATTTCATTTCACAACACCATTAAACATCAAATAAACTTAAAGCCTTAAACTATTCATTAAAAATATATATATATATATATGCGTAGATCCTCACTCAACACTATTCTAACTATTAATTTGGACCAATAATATATAAACACGTCATCTTTAATTAGTAAATAAAAAATGACGGGATATATATTTACTTATCAAATCAGATATGGTAGTTATTTGGTAATTAAAAGAGGACGTGCTAATGTGTTATTGGTCCACATCATCTGTGGTGTAAATTCTCTCTAAATATTGTCCTAAAAAAAATAATAATTGTTTTGCATAATATTTTAAAAATATTTTTTAAAAAGTATCTTTCCGTATCCCAACTATATCCAAAAAGTATCCCCCACATCCTTAGCGTATCCTAGCTATATCTGAAAAATAAAAATTTATTTAAAAAATTCCTATACTTTTTTCGAGTACCAGACACACGTGCCCAAGTGGGCCAAGTGTATCATAAGCGTATGGGAATTGAACACGTGTATGATACCTCCATGACACCTTGGGAAAGTATCCATATTTATTGTACTTCCTAGATTGTGAATAATACTATTTTTCATTGTCATAAAATTTAATATTCATGTGTGCTTATGTTATGTTCAAAATTTACTTTAAACTTAAAGTTTAAAAATATTATTTTATCAATATGTTATACTAATAAAAATACAATAACTATAGCACTAATTTAACACATTGAACCAAAGTCAATACTAACATAGAAGGTCAGTATTATTTTTGAAATTATATGAGAGGTTCATGTTATTTAGGTAATTTATAAAAAAGGTAAATATAATAATTATTATTATTATTAATTTATTTTATTATTGATTCAAAAGTTATACAAATCAAAATAAAAATTATAATGTTTTTTATTCACGGTCGGGAACCCAAAATAAAAAATAAAATTCTATTTCCACTCTTCTTCCTAAAATTCTTACAATGACATTTGATGCAGGGGAGAAAATAAATAAAGGGGAAGTGATTCTTGAGAAATGTCATAATATGGAGATAGCAATTCATCCATTAACCAATTAAACAAACCGAACATGTCCCAAAATTTTTAAAAATTAATATGAATTTATAAGTTCACCTTTTAAATTTTTAGTTTTACATATTCACTAATATTTAAAGCAGTCAGAACTACGGGGTATTTGAAATTAAAATTTTGTTTTCATTAAACCCTAATTTATCCGACAACATTTACTTATTTTTAAGACTACGCTGATTTACTCATTATAAAAAAAAACAAAGGAAAAGAAAAAAGATGAGAGTACAAAATGAGAAGGATTTATGAAAAAGACAACCAATTGAAAACCTAATACTGTACTTTACTTCATTGTAGATCTCGCCCATACTTAGAGATTCAACTAGGGTTCTAAGCGAGACCCAGTAACGGTGCCTCAGGGGGTGCCACACAGTGCACTCAATACTCTCTCTCTCACTCACTCTCTCAATATCTCTCTCCTTGCCTCCGCCCCTTATCCCCAATGGCATCGATCACCTCCCCAGGGCAACTTCTTATTCCCAATCTCAGTCCCTCCATTCGCTCCCGGCGCAACTCCACCGTCTCTCGCGTACCCACCGCCTCAGCCATCCGCCAACCCACCGGCGCCATTCGACTACCCACCCTCCCTTCCCAGAACCCTAAACATGCCGCCACTCGCCTACCCACCGCCTGTTCCCAAAACCCCGAACCTTCTAAATCTACATCTCGTAAACCCTCCCAATCCCTCAAAAAAACCCTAGCCCTGTCCGGGGCCACCGGCGTCCTCTTTCTCTTTGGCACCTCTGTCGCTTACCTGGGTGGCATTAGAGGTGGTATTGGCGGTGGCGGAGGACCCGGTGGAGGCGGTGGCGGAGGACCCGGTGGTGGAGGTGGCGGAGACGGCGGTTTCTGGTCGAAAATATTCTCTTCTATCGCGATTGCTAAGGAAGACGAATCACAATCTCAAGAATGGGACTCACACGGGTTACCTGCCAACATTGTGGTACAGCTCAACAAGCTCAGTGGTTTCAAGAAATACAAGGTCTCCGACATTTTATTCTTCGATAGACTCCGGAGAAGCACCGTCGGCACCGAAGATTCATTCTTTGAGATGGTTTCCCTCCGGCCCGGCGGTATATACACCAAAGCCCAATTCCAGAAGGAGCTCGAAACCCTTGCTACCTGTGGAATGTTTGAAAAGGTCGATCTTGAAGGGAAGACCAATCCGGATGGTACGATGGGAATAACCATATCATTCATGGAGAGTACATGGCAATCCGCGGATAAATTTAGGTGCATTAATGTCGGTCTGATGCCACAGTCGAAGCCAATTGAAATGGACCCGGACATGACTGAGAAGGAGAAAATGGAGTACTATTTGAGTCAAGAGAAGGATTATAGGAGGAGAATCGATAGGGCAAGGCCATGTTTGTTGCCAACGACAGTGCACAGAGAGGTGTTGTATATGTTGAGAGAGCAAGGGAAAGTGAGCGCCAGGTTGTTGCAGAAGATTCGTGACCACGTTCAAAAGTGGTACCAAGACGAGGGGTATGCTTGCGCTCAAGTTGTGAATTTTGGTAATTTGAATACAAAGGAGGTGGTTTGCGAGGTTGTGGAAGGGGATATCACGCAGCTGGTGATTCAGTTTCAGGATAAGCTTGGAAATGTATGCGAGGGTAACACCAATTTCGCTGTTTTGAGACGAGAATTACCCAAACAGGTAACCTATTGATGTTTGTTGTTCATGAGTTTATGCCGAATGAATTTTGCATTGTTGATTAGTCATGGAGATTTGATAGAGTGTGCATTTTTATTGTTTACAATTGACAGACTTTACTTTACTAATTATTAATTCTCAATTCACAGTTTTCATTAGTTAGCTTTCTTATTTGAAAAATGAAATACAAACACTCAGAAGAGAGTGATTGGTCCCACAAGAAGTTATGGGCCTCACCATGCCTACAGTCCGATTTGGCTTGTATATCATTGTTCTCAATTTGATGATATATCCAGTTTTGTTTGGTATTCATATTCTATATAGGTTTATTTGGTTTTGAGCTGAATGTGTTAATTGTGTTTACAGCTTAGACAAGGGCATGTTTTTAACATAGAAGCTGGGAAACAAGCTCTAAGGAACATAAACACGTTAGCCTTGTTTTCTAATATTGAAGTCAATCCAAGACCTGATGAGAAAAATGAGGGAGGGATTATTGTTGAGATTAAGCTTAAAGAATTAGAACAAAAGTCTGCTGAAGTCAGTACAGAGTGGAGTATTGTCCCCGGACGCGGAGGTCGCCCTACACTGGTATGATGTTCAATAGCTAATCCCTACTTGATGGGGCATTAAGGATTTGGGCTTTCTATTTACTTTTGTAACTGATCTATTTATTTTCTATAATTTTAGGCTTCAATCCAGCCTGGTGGAACAGTTTCCTTTGAGCACCGAAATCTCAAAGGGCTAAATAGGTCCATTCTTGGTTCAGTGACAACTAGCAACTTCCTCAACCCTCAGGTGATCTTTACTTTGATATAAAATTAACATATTTTATAAAAATGATTTATTGTTGCATTTGCATGTTCCTGCATTTAACGGGAATTTTTTCTGCAGGATGATCTTGCTTTTAAGCTTGAGTATGTGCATCCATATTTAGATGGTGTGACTAATCCTCGCAACCGTAGTTTCCGCGCAAGCTGCTTTAACAGCAGGAAACTTAGCCCAGTGTTCACCGGTGGGCCAGGAGTGGACGAAGTCCCCCCTATATGGGTTGATCGAGCTGGTGTCAAAGCTAATATTACAGAGGTATGGTGCACTCTTCAGCTTTTCATCATGTGGTTTTAGTAGATTCCTAATCTATAATACGAGTTTCTGACTGATATTTGTTGTGCAGAATTTCACGCGTCAGAGCAAATTCACTTACGGACTTGTGATGGAAGAGATAACAACCCGCGATGAAAGCAGTCATATTTCTGCAAATGGTCAAAGGGTGTTGCCAAGTGGAGGAATTAGTGCAGATGGACCTCCGACAACACTTAGTGGCACTGGAATTGACCGAATGGCATTTGCACAGGCAAATATTACGCGTGATAACACCAAGTTTGTAAATGGAGCAATAGTTGGTGAGAGGAATGTGTTCCAGGTGAGTTTTTTTTGGGCAAGTGTGCCCCCGGCGAATTGTATAAGCTTAAGCCATACTTTTGTATATTGCTGACGTTCTTATATCTACTATTTGATAATATAAATTTGGATGTTCTTGATTTTAAAAATATTCCAGAATTTGTTATGTGAAACCCTTGATATAATAAAGCTGATATAATTGACAGTGTTACGAGTGCATGCTCATTGAAAAACATTATAAGTGATTCAGTGCTTGTGTTCCTAAGTTTTTCTGCCGAACTTTGGAATACACTTCCTGTAAATAATTTCTGTTTCCTTTAAAAAATATTATGGCCATCAGAAGTATGCATTAATTATTTAATACCATTCAGGTCCATTAATCTGAATTCAGTTGGAATTCTAGAATTCTTTATTTTTAATGATGTAACAGTTATTTACACTCATATTATGATATAAGGATGCTACGTTTTATCATATAAAAGCCTTGCTGCTTTCCGCACACATCAGAAAAGAGAGAACATAGAAATTTCTTTCCAACACTATAAAAAAAATTTAAATGAAACTTCTGAAATCATATTTTCTTGTTCCTGAAATAGATACGTGCTGTTGACTCCAAGACAACTATTTGCTGTGTGTCAAATGGGTGTTGTACAAGTAAATATTTTAAGAACTACATAAAAAGGGTGGTGCTAGTTTTCGCCTGACAATTCGGAGCAAAATCCTGTTTTTCCATTTTACAATATTAATGGTGTCTTCTAGTTCAGATGGTCTTCATATGTAACAAGGACTTGCATTACCTGCTAACATGCTTATTTTGCATTATGAATTGCAGCTTGACCAAGGTCTTGGCATCGGCAGTAAGTTTCCATTCTTTAATCGCCACCAGCTTACATTGACACGATTCATCCAGCTAAAAGAAGTGGAGGAAGGTGCTGGTAAACCACCACCACCCGTGCTAGTCCTACATGGCCATTATGGTGGTTGTGTGGGAGACCTTCCAAGTTATGATGCTTTTACACTTGGGGGGCCTTATTCAGTGAGGGGTTACAATATGGGTGAGATAGGTGCAGCCAGAAATATCCTGGAGGTAAGAATCATTGGAGTCAATTGTTGCCTTCATCAGGCCATTATAACAGCTAAAAATCTATGGATTTAATATTTGGTTTTTCCCCTTAATAAGTAATAACTATTGGTAAAATATGGTTATTTGTTTGTTTTTATCTGATTTAAGTCCTAATGGGTTCGTGCAGCTTGCTGCTGAGATGCGGGTACCCGTGAAGAACACACATGTCTATGCATTTGCAGAGCATGGTAATGACCTTGGAAGTTCAAAGGATGTGAAGGGAAACCCAACAGAGGTTTACAGGCGAATGGGTCACGGTTCCTCATATGGTGTTGGGGTCAAGTTAGGCCTAGTACGAGCTGAGTATGCCGTTGATCACAACTCTGGCACTGGTACGGTGTTCTTCAGATATGGAGAGAGATTTTGAGACGTGTTTCATGGTTTTGCTGGTACATTAACATCGGTTTGTGTGACATAAAGGATTATCAGAGCTATTCTAGATGTTGCGAGTTTTGAGTTATCTAGAACGATTAAGGTTTTTTATAAGTTTCGTACTTTCCGCGGCTTATCTTCATTCTCATGTAGTATGGAAATATTTTATTGTTGGATAATAATCAAATGTGGTAAATACTTTTATCTATTTTTATTTTATTTTTGTGGTTTGAAACAGAGGACTCACATTTTAAATTTATTTGAAATGTTATATTTTAAACAGTATGGACACAATGAAGTTTATTTAATGGCCTCTCTTTGAGCTTCGAACGGTTAACTACTGCGCTCGCAAGCTGGATTGAATTTGAGTGAGAATGATGTCTTTTCTTTTTCTCATAGTTTTTTTTTTTTTTCTTCAATAAATTGTTATTTTTTCCAGATGTCCTTGCCTGTTCTCTCATGAGATATTGCTCGAGTTTCAATTTCTTATAAAGGTGATAATATCAATTCAAAATTGCATGTTGGACAAAGAAATTGAGCGGTTTTTAGCTTAATAAAATAGAATAAGTAATTTCTCACTACTAACTTAATAGGATAATATAGGTAAATGGAAATTATGGGAGTTTTCAAAGAAAAGTATTGAATGTCAATTGGTTGGGGTACCCCATATAATAAGTCTCCCCTGTATATTTTTTCATAAGGCCATATGTGGTGTCTAATTCGATTTGCTACTAATGAATTAGAAAATTTTGAATTCACTGTGGCTATTTGGGATATCAAATTGAATCCATGGAATGAAGGATCGGATTCGCAGATTAAATTTTTTTCTAAATAGTCTAATATTATTTATTTTTTAACCATAATTCAATAGATAAAAATTTAATTTATCAACATTTAAATTATTATTAACTAATACATTCTTAGAGTCTCATTAAATGATAATTAACTGATTATATATATATATATATATATCGCGGATATGATTGGATTTTAATAGCCTAATCTATGATTAAATCTGTAAACTATGAATTTAATTTTTTTTAATTCGCCACCGATTCGTGAGTGTAGCAATCTGATCTGATCTATATAAATCCATTCACAGATTATTTGCCCACCCCTACTTTAAGGTCAGTTGTTAATCAAACAATTGTCTAATAGTTACATTTAGATATATTTGTCAAACTTAACTTGTTTGGATCCAAATAAGTCCGACTAAATGAATTGTTTTCATTAATTTTACTTATTTTTGCTTGAATATGTTTCCAAGTCTTGGTTATATATTACGAATCGGATCGGGTTTTAACCGCTTAATTCGTGATCCGATCCATAAGTTACGAATTCATATTTTTTTTTTAATCTGTCACCGATCCATGAGTGTAGCAATCTGATTCGATATGCATGAATCGTATTCGCAGATTTACTCACTCCTAATTTAAGCCCAGTTGATTTATCAAACACTTCTCTAATAGTAAAATTCAGATATATACCGATTAAATTTAACTTGTTTGTGAGACAAATTCTCTTGCATCGTTACATCATTGCATCGTTCAACAGTCGCATTCAAACCATTTGTAATAGCGCACGCGTATAATAGGTACGGTAATGAATGGTGCTGCAAAGTGAACGAGGGCAAACAAATTTTTCTCCTTATTTGGATCCAAATAGGACTCTCTAATGGATTGTTTTTGTTAATTTTAGTTATTTTTGCTACGTTCCCAAGTCTTGGTTCGAAATGTCGTTCAAATTCTATTCTTTTGCTTAACAAAAAACTACAAATGAAATCTTATCCATTGGAAAGGATATTAATTTACATGCTGGATTTTAAAAATGTGAGAGGACAAAATTTCTCACCATTTAATAGTTTATTTAATTTGTGAATACAATTCAATTCAGTAGAACCTTTTGTTCACTTTGTTTTTTTTTTTTCCTTCTTCTTTCCGCTCCCGTATTAATGAAAGAATCGTACTCTCCAATTGAAATGGTGTTTGGTTTCTTTTCCGCGCTTTTAAAATGCACCCTCTCTTCAAGTGAACAACCATATCTATGACCCATCACAGAATCCTTATAAACAGTCTTCGCTTTCATCTTCCCTCCTGATTATCAATGCCTTCGCTCCTTTGACTCATTTTGCCTCCAATCTCGTAGCCCTACACACAGCTTGGACGATTATCTGACGCTCGCAAACTGTTCGACAAAATTCCCGAAACAAATATCCGACGTAGAGAAGGCCTAAAACCCAACAAGTTTGTCCTTCCTAGCGTTCTCAAAGCATGCGGGCATCTCTCTGATCGACAAACCGGAGAGAAGATACATACTTTAGTCCTAAACTGTGAGTTTGAATCCGATGCTTTTGTCAATAGTGCATTTATAGGTATGTACCCAAAATGTGGTCCGATTGGAAAGGCCGAGCGGGTGTTCAATGGGATGGTTGAGAAAGAGTTGATGGTATTGAATGCCATGATTTCGGGTTGTGCTCAACTGGGGTATTTTAAAAAAAGCTTGGAGTTCGGTTGAAAAAACGAAACTAATGATAGTGAAGCCCAATGTAGTAACATGGAATACGTTAATTTCTGGCTTTGCACAAGCAGGTGATGATCTCTGAACTTTTTCAATTGATACCCATTGACGGTGTTGAGCCTGACATGGAATCTCGGACTTTAGTTATTTACGGGTTTGCGCAGAATTTCCGTAACGGCTTTTGAGTTGCATCCTAGTTCGGCTACAATTAGTAGTCTCTTGCTGCGTGTTCAACCAAGGCAGATTTGAGGTGTTGAAAGGAGATTCATGGCTACGCAGTGGTGATTGGAGTCAAAGAAGATATATTTGTGAGGAGTGCTCTTATAGACAGGTATGCAAATTGTGGTTTAATATATGAAGCAAGAACATTGTTTCATAAGATGTTTGAATGAAACACGCTACTGAAATTCTACGATTATAAGGCGACATTTTTTTTTTTTTTTTTCCCAAATTTGGTAAAAAACACTAATGGAAGGTTTGAAGTGGACAACCAACCCCAGCCATCGTAGGTCACTCGGATGCTAGAGATTCAACTAGGGTTCTAAGCCACCCAGTACGTTGCCTTTGTGCACTCATAATTCTTTCACAAAACATATGAATTTATGATAAATAACTACATTTAAATTCATACATGGTAATTCAGGAAAAAATAAAATCATACATGGTATAAAACGCACTGTCTCTCCCCTTGCCTCCGCCCCTTATCCTCAATGGCAACCATCGCTGCCCCCGGACAACTTCTGCCAATACTCAGTCCCTCCTTCCGCTCTCGGCGCAACTCCACCACCACTAGCATACCCACCACCATCCGCCCACGTTTTGCCACTCGCCCTCCCACCATCTGCCTACGGGCTGCCACTCGCCTACACACCACCTCTTCCCAAAACCGTAAGCCTTTAAAACCCACCTCCTCATTACAAAACACTAAAGCTTTAAATTTTCCATCGTGTAAACCCTCCTTGTCCCTCCCAAAAACCCTAGTGCTGTCCACCGCCTCCGGCCTCCTCTTCCTCTTTGGCACACCTCTCAGTTACCTGTACAGTCGCATTACAGGTGGTGGGGCTGGGGGCTGGGGTGGAGGAGGAGGCAGCAGTGGAAACAGCGGTGGCGGAGACGGCAGTTTCTGGTCGAAAATATTCTCTCCTGTTGTGATTGCTAAGGAAGACGAATCACAATCTCAAGAATGGGACTCACACGGGTTACCTGCCAACATTGTGGTACAGCTTAACAAGCTCAGTGGATTCAAAAAATACAAGGTCTCTGACATTTTGTTCTTTGATAGACTCCGGAAAAGCACAGTCGGCACTGAAGATTCCTTCTTTGAGATGGTTTCGCTCCGGCCTGGCGGTATTTACACCAAAGCCCAATTCCAGATGGAGCTCGAAACTCTTGCGACCTGTGGAATGTTTGAAAAGGTCGATCTTGAAGGGAAGACCAATCCTGACGGAACTATGGGAATAACCATATCATTTAAGGAGAGTACTTGGCAATCAGCGGATAAATTTAGGTGTGTTAATGTCGGTCTAATGCCCCAGTCCAAGCCTATTGAAATGGACCCTGACATGACGGAGAAGGAGAAATCGGAGTACTATTTGAGGCAAGAGAAGGATTATAAGAGGAGAATCGAGAGGGCAAGGCCATGTTTATTGCCAATACCAGTGCACAGAGAAGTGTTACAGATGTTGAGAGGGCAAGGGAATGTGAGCGCCAGGTTGATGCAGAAGATTATGAACCAGGTTCAAAAGTGGTACCACGACGAGGGGTATGTGTGGGCTAAAGTTATGAATTTTGGTTATTTGAATTCGAAGGAGGTGGTTTTCGAGGTTGTGGAAGGGGATATCACGCAATTGGTGGTTCAGTTTCATGATAAGCTTGGGAATGTATGTGAGGGGAACACCCACATCCCTATTTTGAGACGAGAATTACCCAAACAGGTAACCTATTGATGTTTGTTATCCATCAATTTGTGCCGATGGATTTTGCTTTGTTAATTAGTCATGGAGATTTGATAAACTTTGCATTTATAAAGTTTGCATTTGTATTGTTTTTATTTGACTGGCTTTGCTTTATTACTGATCCATTCTCAATTCATGGTTTTCGTTACTTAGCTTTCTTATTTGAAAAATAAAATACAAGCTGTATAGGCAAGCGCCAACACTAAGAAGAGAGCGGTGGGTCCCGCAACAAGTTGAGAGAATCGGTAGAGGCGGATTAGCCTTTTTCTTCTTAGTTTGATGGGTTTTTCCTTGTTAGTTTTGTATCCAGTTTTGTATGTTATTCATATATCTAAGAGGATTTTGCTTTGTAAAATATCTTATTTAGATTTACTGGGTTTTGAGATGTTAATTATCCGATTGGGTCTAATTACTGGTTGTTTCTGGGTGTGAATTTTTTGTACAGCTCGGACAAGGGCATGTTTTAAACATAGAAGCTGCAAAACAAGCTCTAAGGAACATAAGGGCATTAGGCTTGTTTTCTAATTTTGAAGTTAATCCAAGACCTGATGAGAAGAATGAGGGAGGGCTTATTGTTGAGATTAATCTTAAAGAATTCGAACAAAAGTCGGCTGAAGTCAGTACAGAGTGGAGTATTGTCCCTGGACATGGAGGTCGTCCTACACTGGTACGAAGTTCAATAGCTAACCTCTACTTGATGGGGCATTAAGGATTTGGGCTTTCAATTTATTGTTCTAACATATTGGAAAATTGTTTATTTGATTTTATTTTAGGCTTCGATTCAGCCTGGTGGAACTGTTTCCTTTGAGCACCGAAATCTCAAAGGGCTAAATAGGTCCATTCTTGGTTCAGTGACAACTAGCAATTTCCTCAGTCCGCAGGTGATCTTTACTTTGATGTAAAATTAACATCATTTCTAAAAATAATTTATTGTTATATTTGCAAGATTTTGCGTCATACAATGTTAGTGGGTATTTTTTTCCTGCAGGATGATCTGGGTTTTAAGTTTGAGTATGTGCATCCATATTTAGATGGTGTGTATAATCCTCGCAACCGTACTTTCCGAGCAAGCTGCTTTAACAGCAGGAAACTTAGCCCAGTGTTCATTGGTGGGCCAGAAGTGGATGAAGTCCCCCCTATATGGGTTGATCGATCTGGTGTCAAAGCTAATATTACAGAGGTATAGTGCACTCCTTGGCTCTTCTCTAATATAATGCTTATAAGTCTCAGGAGGTCCTTCATCATGTGGTTTTAGTAGTTTCCTAATCTATAATATGAGTTTCTGACTGATGTTCGTTGGGCAGAATTTCACGCGTCAAAGCAAATTCACTTACGGACTTGTGATGGAAGAGATAACATCGCGAGATGAAAGCAGTCATATTTCTCCAAATGGTCAAAGGGTCGCTCCAAGTGGAGAAATTAGTACAGACGGACCTCCAACAACACTCAGTGGCACTGGCATTGACCGAATGGCATTTGCACAGGCAAATATTACACGTGATAACACCAAGTTTGTAAATGGAGCAATAGTTGGTGAGAGGAATGTGTTCCAGGTGAGTTTTTTTGATGGGCAAGTGTGTCCCCAGTGAATTGTATAAGCTTATGTATTATCTTCTTCTTTTTTTTTTATTTATTTATTTTTTTTAATATATATTAAATCTACTATTAGATAATATAATTTTGGATGTCGTTGATTTTAAAAATATCCCAAAATTTGTTATCTGAGTCCTTGATATTATAAAGCCAATATAATTGACACTGTTTTACGAATGCGTACTTATTAAAGAACATTATGACTGGTTCAATGCTTTTATTATGCAGGTGTTCCCTAGTTTTTCTGCCCAACTTTGGAATATTACTTCCTGAATTAATTTCTCTTTTCTTTAAAAAATATTATGGCCATCAGAGTGCAATGATTATTAAATGCCATTCGGGTCCTTTAATTTGAATTCTGTTGCTACTCTAAAGTTCTTTATTTCTAATGATGTAACAGTAAGGATGCTAAGCTTTATCATATAAAAGCCTTAAATGTCTGCTTTGTGTACAAAGCGGAAAAAAGAGAGAATAGAAATTTATTTTCAACACTACAAAAAAATTTAAATGAAACTTTTGAAATCATGTTTTCTTGTTTCCTGAAATAGATATGTGCTGATGACTTCAAGACAACTATTTTTTGTGCATCTAATGGGTATTTGTTGTGAGATTTATATGTACCTCTCGCAAGTGCACGAATCTTTGCAGATATGGTTTACTTGTAAGGGTGTTGTACCCAAGGGACTTGTCAACAGATTTATTAAATTCCAAATCAACTTGAAAGTAGGATAATCGAATTGTGATAATTAATTCTAAATTAACTAAGTCGAAAAATAAATTAAACTAAAGAACAATGATTAAATAGGATGTAGAAAATAAAGAGAGAGGACTAGGGGTATGATTTCACCATTAACGTCGCACCACTAGTCAATTGCATCAATTTATTGGAGATATATCATATAACATGCACATGGAATTAATCATGGCTACAAGCACATATTAATTCAGCTAGAAAATAATATAATTTAAAGTTAAGCATGGACTATCTTCGATTGGCATAAACCATCTACCTATCTACTTTACTCTAGGGTGTAGCATGGTCTTTCTTTTTTAGGCATAATCCATCAAATCTCTAACATTATATTCAGAGAAATACCATTGTGTAATCATCTCATTCACAACTACAAGAAGCGAATGAGTTGTGTTCAATCACAAGATTAAAATATCTAAGACAAGATGGAAAAATATTTGTAATTGAATTAAAACTCTAAAACCGATTCTTATTGAAAAGTCAATTAAAAATCCTATAGATTACACAATCATGCATGATAAAATTGTTCTCCAATAATTAAATACAATCAAACCAGTGTGCTAAGCTAGGGCTACGTCACAACCCTAGCAAAACATTTAGCCAAGCATGACTGCAGTGGAATTCTTCATGGTTGAGGAAGACATCTTCACCGCCATGGATTGATCCCTTCCTTCTTTTGAATGCTCCTCTCTGATCTCAGCCTCAAGCTCCTCTGTATGATCATTCAATGTTGTAGAGGACCCCCTTTAAATAATAAAAGATCAGCCCTAAAGTTCCCTTTTTCATATAGAAGACATACATAAAAATTCTGTCAAATAAGGACTCCAAAATTCGTACAGACTTCCAGGCAAATTTTGACAAGGTAAACAGCTGTTTTAGGGAATCCTCGTGAAATGCAAAATTGTAGCTCTTCGAATTTCCTTTCAACCATCGTGGGAATTTAGTTGTTTTGACACTCGAGGAGAGAGATACAGCGAAATTACCAAAACGGGTTCAAGTTACCAACTTTGGCGAAAGTTTTCTTTTTAGAGAAGGAGTTTTCCTTTTCTTCTTTCCATTCTCATCAACTTGTGGCTTCTTTTGGAATATTTTTTAAGTATAATTAGACTTGGATCTTCAACTTTGCTTGGTCCCGCGAAATGTCATCTGTTAAAGGTCATAATCGCTGGTCTTGACTGATTTTACAATTAAAGCCCTGAAATAAATAAAAACAATAAAACAATGTAAAATTACAAATAAACTATTATTAAGAGAATCAAACAAGCAAGTAAACGAGCTAAAATGTATAACATTCAGCGCCTAACAGTATTGTACAAGTTATATTTTTTAACAACTACATTTAAAATGTAGTGCTAGTTCTCAACTGTCAATTTTGAGCAAAATCCTGTTTTCCCCTTTTACAATAATTGATGGTGTCTTCTAGTTCAGATTGTCTTCATATGTGACAAGGACTTGCATTACCTGCTAACATGCGTATTTTTGCATATGAATTGCAGCTCGACCAAGGTCTTGGCATCGGCAGTAAGTTTCCATTCTTTAATCGCCACCAGCTCACATTGACACGATTTATCCAGCTAAAAGAAGTGGAGGAAGGTGCTGGTAAACCCCCACCACCCGTGCTAGTCCTACATGGCCATTATGGTGGTTGTGTGGGAGATCTTCCAAGTTATGATGCTTTTACACTTGGGGGGCCTTATTCAGTGAGGGGTTACAATATGGGTGAGATAGGTGCAGCCAGAAATATCCTGGAGGTAAGGAGTCAATTGTTAACTTCTTCAGGCCATTATAACAGCTAACAATCTATAGATTTAAAATATGGTTTTGCCTTTAACAACTATTGTTCAAATATGAATATTTGTTTCTTTATATCTCATTTATAGTTCTAATGGATTCATGCAGCTTGCGGCTGAGCTGAGGATACCTGTGAAGAACACGCATGTCTATGCATTTGCAGAGCATGGTAATGATCTTGGAAGTTCAAAGGATGTCGAAGGAAAGCCAACAGAGGTTTACAGGCGAGTTGGTCACGGTTCCTCGTATGGTGTTGGGGTCAAGTTAGGCCAAGTACGGGCTGAGTATGCCGTGGATCACAACTCTGGCACTGGTGCAGTGTTCCTCAGATGTGGAGAGAGATTTTGAGATGTGTTTCATGGTTTTGCTGGGTGCATATTGTGTACATTAAGGAATCTTGGTGCTATTCTAGATGTGGCTAGTGTTGAGTTATCTAGAACGACAAAGGTATTTTATAAATAAGTTTCATACTTTCTGCGGCAGCCGTTCTTTATTCTCATAGTGTTTCTGAAATAAGGAAATGCCTGGAAAAAATTGGTAAATACTTTTAATTATTTTTATTTATTTATTGTGGTTTGATATAGAGGACAATGTTATGTATTGAACAGTATGGACACAATGAATTTTATTTAATAGTATCTCTGAGTTTGGAAGGTTATCTACTGTGGTTGCTAGATTGATGTATGTTATTTTTCTCATAGTGGAGTAAAAACAAAATTCTTCTATGAATTCTATTACTTTTCCAGAGATGTACATACAAATTCTCTTTCTTATGTTATGAAGTATCAAGTTCTTATAAAAATGATATTAGCATATCAATGTAGTATATGTGGGTTTTTCCTTGTCTTCGCAAAATTAGAAACACTTAATAATGATGAGGACAGTAAAACAACTTCTTAAGACTGTCATTTTTATTTTCCTGTTCAATTGCATATTTGCAAACTATGTTTGAGACTTCAAGCACATGTTTTTGCTGTTTCTATGTCAGAATCTTCCAATGATGTTGCATGGAGGAGAACTTATGAGGCACAGTTGTGGCTGTTCAAGTAGTGCTCACTAAATGTATGAATTATTATTTGTATTCCAACAGCAATCTTAGTAAAAAAATTATTCCTGATGATTGATTTAAATTCCAGATTCACTTGTTGAGAATGTTGTATGGTATAGCATATAGAGAGTAGATTAAATGTATTTGATGTGTGCCCAACTCTTTACTATGAGAATATATATGAATCACACTCCTTAGACATTTTTGGAAGGTTAAAAGGACAAAATCGGCATAAAAGTATTACTTCAATGACTTGTAAAAAGGTACTTTGAGAGCCTTTTCACACATATTTAAAAGAATAAGAGAGAGGGTAAACAATTTTTTTTAAATAAGAGATGAAAGTGTTATACAAAATATATTTTTAAAGTGTTTTCAGCACTTAATCCATTTTTTTGATACATGAACAGATGAACTCAGTTCAAATTTGTGTATTTTAAATAAGGGAAGGGGTCACAAAATCTCAAAAAATTTACCCATTTCAAAAAGTGCATCTCTCTCTCTTTCTTTTCTTTTTTAAAATCAAGTCCGGTCCAAATGAAATCCTTTTCAAAATAAAAATAAAAACTCGTTCCAAGCTCGCAACTTAGCCCGTTCCAATCTCACAACCTGCTATCTCAAAGCCCAAATACTTTTAGGCCCAATCCAATCCGTTGAATGACGGGCTGACGCCTGGGTTCCCGAAAACCACGGGCAGGGCCAGTCCAACTCGACACATTATGCACTCTTTATAATCACCAAGAGGAGTTGCAATCCCCACTTGAATTATCTTGACATCAAAGAACACCCCGCGCAGTATGGTATGTAATTTAAAAGCGAACCAACAACTTTTCTATAAACTCCAATAACATTAATTCTCGCCCGCAGTAATGCCCAAGAGAATTTTGACTCCAATAACATTGAAACGCACACCGTGCCATCTTGATTCGGCCTGTGCCTTGGTTTGTAACCCCAACATGAAGTTAAAGAGCTCGTCTTCGTCAGACATATTCTTGATGTCTAACATCAACATGCAGAACTCCTTCACATAGTCCCATATAGTGTTGATGCGTCTCAGCTTCTTAAGGGACTCTTTAGCAACCCAGGTTGTGTTGTAAGGAAGGAACTGATCTTTCAACAGGTAGTCCCGATTCAAAATTTACCAATACTTACATCATCCTCCATTCGAGTGTACCACCAACATACTACTAATAATAACCTATTTTCTCCCAAATAAAAAAACTGAGCAGCTTCGATGATGCATGTCCCAAAGAAAGTTCTCTAGCTCCTTGATCGTGTGAAAAAAAATAAATGTAAAAATAAATATTTGGGCTCGGAGACTTTGATATAACCACCGTCTGCTTGGTGTGAAGTGCTCTCTCCGCTAGAGCGGCTTTATTCTCCACGTCATTAAAGCTGGCCTTGGAAACTTTTGGCTAAGGACAAAATATTATCCGTGATAGTGGAGATGTGGAGTTGGTCTGCAACAGCCTGAAAATTCGCCCACAGCTGCTAGGACAAAGTAAAAAAACACTCCTCTCTGTCTCTCTCTCCTTGCCTTCGCTCCTTATCCCCCAATGGCAACGGTCGCCGGCCCGTGGCAAATTCTCCTGAATTTCAGTCCCTCCCTTCACTCCCGGCGCAAATCCAACGCCACTCGCCTGCCCACCACCATCCGCCTACCCACCGCCACTCGCCTACCCAACTCCATTCACCTACCCACCACCTCTTTCCAAAACCCAAACACTTTAAAACCCACCTCCTCTTCCCAAAACGATGAACCTTTAAAACCCACCTCCTCTTCCCAAAACCCTGAACCTTTAAAATGTACATCGCTTAAACCCCTCCCATCCCTCCAAAAAACCCTAGCCATTTCCACCACCACAGGCCTCCTCTCTCTCTTTGGCACCTCTCTCACTTACCTGTACGGTGGTAGCGGCGACGGAGGAGGAGGCAGAGGTGGAAACGGCGGTGGTGGAGGTGGCGGAGACGGCGGTTTCTGGTCCAAAGTATTCTCTCCGGCCGCGATCGCCAAGGACGACGAATCACAGTCTCAAGAATGGGACTCACACGGGTTACCAGCCAACATTGTGGTACAGCTCAACAAGCTCAGTGGGTTCAAGAGATACAAAGTCTCAGAAATTTTGTTCTTCGATCAACATCGTAATTCCACCATCGGCACCGGAGATTTCTTCTTTGAGATTGTTTCACTCCGGCCGGGCGGTATATACACGAAAGCCCAATTCCAGAAGGAGCTGGAAACACTTGCGACTTGTGGAAGTTTTGCGAAGGTGGATCTTGAAGGGATGACCAACCCTGAAAGGACTATTGGAATAACCATACCATTTACAGAGACGACTTGGAAATCGGCGGACAAATTTCGGTGCATTAATGTCGGTCTAATCGCGCCGATTGAATGGACCCTGACACGACGGCGAAGGATTATAAGAGCAGAATGGGGAGGGCGAGGCCATGTTTGTTGCCAATGCCGGTGCACGGAGAGGTGTTACAGATGTTGGCAGAGCAAGGAAATGTGAGCCCCAGGTTGGTGCAGAAGATTGAGGACCGTGTTAAGAAATGGTGCCACGAGGAGGGGTATGTGTTTGCTCAAGTTGTGAATTTTGTTAAGTTGAGTTCCAATGATGAGTTGGTTTGCGAGGTTGTGGAAGGGGACATCACTCAGTTGGTGATTCAATTTCAAGATAAGCTTGGGAATGTATGCCAGGGGAACACCCAATTAGCTGTTTTGAGAAGAGAATTACCCAAACAGGTGACCTATTGATGATGTTTATTATCCATAAATATGTGCCGAATCGATTTTGCTTTGTTAAATTAGTCATATTCATGGAAATTTGATAATGCTTGATGCTTTATGTATCCAATTTTGTTTGTTATTCATATAGCTAAGAGGATTATGTTTTGATTGGGTTTAATGGCCGTTTGTTTGTTTATTGAATGTAATAATTATGGTTTACAGCTCAGACAAGGTCATGTGTTTAACATAGAAGCTGGGAAACAAGCTGAAAAGAACTTGAACACGTTAGCCTTGTTTTCTAATATTGAAGTTAATCCAATACCTGATGAGAAGAATAAGGGAGGGATTATTGTTGAGATCAATCTTAAAGAATTAGAACAAAGGTCTGATAAAGTCTGTCTAGAGTTGCCTATTATCGGTGGACGTGGACGTCATCCTATACTGGTATTAAGTCAATAGCCAATCTCTACTTGATGAAGCATGAAGGATTTGGGCGTTCAATTTAATGTACTAACTGATTGGACCAATCCATCCTGGTGGAACTTATTCCTTTGAGATCCGAAATCTCAAAGGGCTAAATAGGTCCTTTCTTGGTTCAGGCACGATTAGCTACTTCCTCAACCCTCAGGTGATTTTTACTTTGAAATGTAAAAATAACATCATTTATAAAAATGATTTACTGTTATATTTGCAAAAAAATTTCATACCATGTTAGTGGGTTTTTTTTTTTTTTTTTTTTTTTCATTCCTTCTGCAGGGTGATCATGCTCTGAATGTTGAATATGTGCATCCACATTTAGATGGTGTGTATAATCTTGCCAACCATACATTCCGAGCAAGCTGCTTTCTCAGCAGGACACTTAGCCCAGTTTTCACCAGTGGGCCAGAACTGGATGAAGTCCCCCCTATATGGGTTGATCGAGCTGGTGTCAAAGCTAATATTACAGAGGTATTGTGCACACTTTGGCTCTTCTCTAATATAATGCTTATAAATCTCAGGAGGCCATCATCATGTGGTTTTGCTAGTTTTTTTTCTTTCTTTCGAAAATGTGGTTTTACTAGTTTCCTAATGTATAATATCAGTTTCTGACTGATATTTGTTGTGCAGAATTTCACTCATCAGAGCAAATTCACTTACGGACTTGTGATGGAAGAGATAGCAACACGTGATGAAATCTATCATATTTCTCCAAATGCTCTAAGGGTGTTGCCAACAACACTTAATGGCACTGGCGTTGACCGAATGGTGTTTGCTCAGGCAAATATTACGCTTGATAACACTAAGTTTGTAAATGGAGCAATAGTTGGTGAGAGGAATGTGTTCCAGGTTAGTGTTTTTTATTTTTTTTATTTTTTTTGGGTACGAGTCTCCCCAGAGAATTGCATAAGCTAATGTCATATTTTTTGTATATTGCTAACGTACTTATATATACCATTTGATAGTATAAATCTGGATGTCCTTGGTATAATGATGCTCATTGAAGAACCTTATTAGTGTTTCAGTGCTTTATTATGTAGGTGTTCCTTACTTTGTCTGCCAAACTTTGGATATACTTCCTGTAAATAATCTCTGTTTCCTTTTTAAAATATTATGGCCATAAGAAGAATGCATTGATTATTTAATGCCATTCAGGTCTGTTAATCTGAATTCTGTTGGTACTCTAGAATTCCTTAATTTTAATGATGTAATTACAGTTAATTAAACTCATATATGATGTAAGGATGCTAAGCTTTACCATATAAAAGCCTTACAGGTCTTGTTTATGTGCACACTTCAAAAAAGAGAATGTAGATATTTATTTTCAAACACTACAAAATTTTTTAAATGGAACTTCTGAAATCATATATTATTGTTTTCCTGAAATGGATATGTGCTGATGACTTCAAGACAAGTATTTTCTGTGTTTAATGGGTGTT